CCAGTGCTGATCCTACAGCACCACACAGTAGAGGCTACATTAACTTGCCCATGGTCACCAGACTTCCTTCCTATAGCTTGGGCTTCAGCAATGTGGTCCTGCTCATCTCCAGAGACTGCCTCTGAGGATGGAAATGGAAGGAAATATCACGGAACCTTTAAAGGGAAGGGATGTGAGTGTCACCTTCAGCAGAAACCCAGGACTTCATAAGGCCTGTCACCAACGCGTCAAACTCAAGCCCCCTCCATTCTGATCCTGTCTTTTCTATGATCCTTCCTTTACCCTCTTTTTCTCCATTTTCCGAGTGACTAGTCTTCCTTTCCCCTTTTCATCTAAATCGTTTGCCAGGCATAGGAGTTTCAGCAATGACAATCCTTTAGCTTTCCAGATGGGGCAGTTGCTACAGGTCCTATGAGTGGGCTGAAAGATACGAGCCAGCTTCAACAGCCTCAAGTTACTTCTCTTATTTTCCTCATCCACTAGGTGGCACTAAGCATGAGTTTATCGTGTTTTCCTGAGGTCCCTTTACTTTCCATGTTTTATAAACCTTTTACTCAAATTAAACAGTTTCATTTTTCCTAAATTTGCTTCAGTTCAAGTTAGTTTGGCTCCCAGAAAGTCTGATTCATCCTCTTTGCCTGTTTCAAGCCCACCTTCAGATTTAGGCAACAGTTGGCAGGCCCTGGGTTGAGCCAGCAGCATGTTGTTTTGTACCATCAAGTTGGTTGCGATGACTCACAGCAACCCTGTATAGGGGTTCCGAGGAGCAGCTGGTGAGTTTGAACCGCCAACCTTGCGGTTCAAACCGACCTTGCAGTTCAGCTCATTAACCCACAGTGCCATGCCAATCTTTAGGGGAGCAGAAAGCCATAGCTTTCTCCTTTGTAGCAGCTGGTGGAATTGAACTGTGGGTGTTGCAGTTTACAGCCCAACACGTAAGCCTATGCCACCAACCAGCAGCACAGCTGTGGAAAAGAATGCCTATGATAGTTCATTTAAAACTGCTGAATGATTTCTCACAGCAGGGGATAGAAAGTGCTCATTGGCATCCCCACCCCCCAGCCCAACGACACCCAGGATGTGTACCATACCCGCTATCTTACATGCCTCTGGGCTGAGAGCTCTCTTCCACCCACCCATTTGCTCATCCATCTGGCTAGCTTGTCATCTGTCCACATACATGCTCATCCAATCTCCTACCAGCCATTCATCCATACACCCAACAGATTCGCAATAAGCCCTGATTCTGTCTACCTCAGGCCTACTCTTAAGAAAGACAAAGAGAACTGAGATAGGATGTCTCCTTTTTTATTTTTCATGAAGGAAGACTATTAACTCTCTCCCTCCTTGCCCTCAGTTTATAACTGCAGCAATGAGAAGCAGCCAATGCTAATTCCTCAGCATATAACTGAAATGCAACAATAACCAAGACTGAAGCAATCAGGTTCTCAGCACAACAAATCCCTCCATTTGTCTTGGTAATATTCTGAACTTCATTCAGGCAACAGATGTTTACTGTAAGCCTCCTAGGTGCCAGGCATTGTGTTGAGAGTACTGTGGATAGGAAGGCTAGAAAGACACAATGCTAACACTGAAGAAGCCTACAGCCCTAACCACAAAACCTGCTAGTCACTTTCCTACCATCCTTCTCCTTTGGAGACTTACCAAAGTAGAGCTAATCACTTCTTCCCCTGGGTCACTCTGCTGTCTGTTGTGGTTAGGTGCCATCGAGTCAACATCAACTCATACTCATAGTGACCCTATACACAACTGAACATAACACTGCCCAGTCCTGCACCAACCTCACAATTGTTGCTACGCCTGAGCCCATTGGTGCTGTCACTGTGCTAATCCATCTCATTGGGGGTCTTCCTCTTTTTCTCTGACCCTCCACTTTATCAAACATGATATCCTTCTCCAGCAACTGCTCCCTCCTGACAATATGTCTGAAGTATGAGAGACGAAGTCTGGCCATCCTGGCTTCCAAGGAGCACGCTGGCTACACTTCTTCCAATACAGATCTGTTGGTTCTTTTGGCAGCCCATGGTATTTTCAATATTTTCCTCCAACACCAAAACTCAAATGCATCAACTTCCTTATTCACTATTCATCTTTCACTAACATATGAGGTAAATAGCACGGCTTGGGTCAGATGCACCTTAGTTCTCAAACTGAACATCTTTGCTCTTGAACACTTTAAAGAGGTCTTGAGCAGCAGATTTGCCCAATGCAATATGTCGTTTAATTTCTTGACTACAACTTTCATGAGTGTTGATGGCTGATCTGAGCGAAATGAACTCTTTGACAACTTCAATCTTTACTCCATTTACCTTGTTGTTGGTAAGTGCCGTCGAGTTACCCACAGTAACAATTCCTCCGAGGAGCAATTGGCGACTTTGAACCACCAACCTTGTGGTTCAAACCAACCTTGCAGTTCAGCATATTAACTCACAGCACCATTTATACAGTTTTGGTAATTGGTTACCTGTGTAGCCTTGGGGCATTGTGTTTCCTTTCTAGAGTGTGGTTTCCTGGCCGTTTCCTGTTTATGTGTATCTTGCTTTTCTGTGTGGGACAAATGGTCAAGTGAACGAATGTTGCAGAAGCAGCAGATGGGGTAGAGAGGAGAGTAAAATCACTAACAATGTGGCTAAGACTCCCGCAACTCTAGCCTCCCACTACTGGAATTTGAATCCTGTCTCTTTGTTGTACAAACTGGGTAAATTGAAGCCAGTGACACAAGTTCTCTGTGCCTCAATTCTGAATCTATAAGATGGTAATAATAGCACCCTACCCCCCATCCCCCCAAGGGCTGTTAGGAGGGTTAAAGAGTTGATCCATATAAAATGGAGGCCTGGTGTGGTGTTGTAGGATAAGCACTGGACTGCTAACCACAAGGTTGGTGGTCAAGCCTACCAGGTGTTCCCTGGAGATCCTATAGAGAGTCGTTAAGAGTCAAAACTGACTTGAGGGCACTTAACAACATTATAAAGTCTATTGTTTATGTTATCACAACTCTTTTGTCCTGTCATCAAGATGCTATTATACAGTGATTGATCCTCTTTCACATCTCAAGTCTCCCAATTATTGGCTAAAACCTTCCACTGCTCCTGACTCATGTACAACACCAGCCGTGGCAGTGCAGGGGAAACCAGGAAATTGCAGAAGGAAGCCTCCTCCTGGGTGTCTACCTATGTGTGTTTCTACCCTATAATTCTGTTTTGAGCAAACTTTGAGGTGGAATGGAGGAATTGTCCTCCAAAGACAGAGAAAGAAGAGCGATTGCACGTAAAAAGAAGTGGGGGAGAACTTTAGACCAAATACATCCAGCCACCGTGGGGTTCCTCCTGCTCATGTGGGAAGGAAACACACTGGGAAACCTGGGGCTTTCTGCCTACTAAGTTTCAGTTCCCTTCCTCTCCACCCGCGAAAACCAGACTGTTTAAGAAACAGACCCCAAATTGTTCAGTTACTCACAGCTCAGTTAGTCAGCTGATTCTGACCCAGTCTCTTCACTTTCAGTATGCGCAAGAGTCAGCGCCTCCTACTCACCTTTTTCAGTCAGTACCTCTGGGCTTTGGAATGGAACAGAAATGTATTAATGCCATCAATAGAAAACACTGGCTGCTTACCAAACTTGCCCTTGGATGTTTGGTTTTTTTTTTGCCTTTGACCTCTAGCTACAAGACTTGGGGCTGCCAGACAGATACAATAAGGTTTGATTGGTCATGTTGTTACTGGGAGTATTAATCATACCTACATCTGGAATGAGAGGGTTCTTGCCTTCTACTGATTAAGAATAGTCTGGAGAGGCAGGGGTTCCATTTGAGCAAAGGATTTTTATAAGTGGAGACAAGAGGGCTTGATGCAACATATAGCTCCCAGCCCCCCAAACAAAGGTTTTGCTGGAGTTGGTGTGGCGCCACCAAAGCATAAGCACTCGACCTTAAAAACAGTTTGAAACCACAAGGTCAGTGGTTCAAACTCACCAGCCACTCCTTGGAAACCTTATACAGGGTTGCTATGAGTCAGAATTGACATGACAGCACTTAACAACAACAACAACAGAGGTTTAGACTGAACAAGGCAGGGATCTAATGCAACCCAGTCCAGACTCCAACATCATTCTTTAAAGAGATGGAAAAACCAATCACTAGTTTATGTGGAAAGGAAAGAAACCTCAAATCAGTAAAGAATTACTAAAAAGAAAGAAAGAAAAAAGCAGGAGACCTCTCACTTACTGATCTCAAAATTTACCACCCACCCACAGTAGTCCCAACAAGCTGGTACTGGTACCAAAACAAGACGCATAGATTAATGGACCAGAATTGGAAACCCAGAAGAAAATCCATCCACTTATGTAAACACATTAAATTAGGAAGAGCTTGTCTCTTCAACAAATGGTGCTGGCGAAATTGGAAATCTATTTGCCGAAGAATGAAAGACGACCCATGTCTCACACCATGTACAAAAATGAACTTGCCGTGGATTGAAGACCTAAATGTAAAACCTAGAACTATAAAGAAGAAAACTTGGGAACTCTGAAAGATGGCATAAATGCACTATCAAGCATAAACTGACAACACACACAAATAGCAGGAGACAAAATAGATGACTGGAACTTCCTGAAAATTAGATGCTTATGTGCATCCAAAGAGTTAAAACAGAACCCACAGACTGGGAAAAAAATTGGGGTGACATCTCAGACAAGGGATTACTCTCTAAAATTATAGGACATTTCAACATCTCCACAAGAAGACAAATGATTCCGTTGAAAAATGACCGGAGGACATGAACAGACATTTAATTAATAAAGACATTCAGTCAGTCAAGAAACATATGAAGGAGATGCTTCCATTAGCCATTATGATTGTTGTTGTTAAGTGTCGTTGAGTCTGTTCAGACTCATAGTGACTCTGTATAGGGTTTATGTGGAGTGGCTGATGGATTTGAACCACTGACCTTGCAGTCCAGTAATTATACTACAGTACTACACCAGGACTCATTAGTCATTGTTGTTGTTGTTAAGTGCTGTTGAGTCAGTTCCAACCCATAGCGACCCTGTATAGGGTTTCCAAGGAGTAGCTGGTGAGCTTGAGTCATCAAATTTGTGGTTCAAACCGACTTTGCCATCCAGCAATTAGCCCACAGCGCTACACCAGGACTCCATTAGCCATTGTTACTGTTGTTACTAAGTGCCATCGAGTCGATTCTGACCCATAGCGACCCTGTATAGGGTTTCCAAGGAGCAGCTGGTGAGTTTGAACCGCCAATCTTGCAGTTCTAACAATGGCTTTGCAGTCTGGCTCATTAACACTTAGCGCCCCACCAACATTCCCCATTAACCATTAGAGAGATGCAAATCAAAACAACAATGAGATATCATCTTACACCAGCATTAATAACAAAGTTAGAAAAAAACCCCAAAAACACACACACAACAAATGCTGGCAAGGGTGTGGAGATATTAGGACCTTCCTACATTGCTGGTGGGACTGTAAAATGGTGAACCACTGTGTACAACAGTCTGGTTCTTTCTCAGAAAGTTGGTAATAGAAATACCGTATGAGCACTCTATCTACTTGGTACATATCCCCAAGAAATAAAAGCCGTGACATGAACAGATATATTCACACCAAGGTCATTACAATGGAAAAAGATGGAAACAACCTACATGCCCATCAAGAAAAGAATGATGAAACAAACTTTGGTACATAGACACACAATGAAATACTATCCAACATTGAAGAAAAACAAGCATAGGACTTTGTTTAAATCTTTATAGCTTTCGAGGCTGCTTTATGTTGGTTACTTGGATTTAGTGGCTGGTTAAGACACCATTTGAGTTCTTTGTGTTACTTCAACAATGGCCTATGCTTAGACAAGTCCAGGTAAGCCTAGGGAATGGCAGTTTGTCCTCAGGAGGAATGTAGTTGAAAGGAGGTTATAGGTCCTGGGCTTGTCCAGGAAGGAGCAGTATGCCCTCAGACTTCAAAAAGAACTAAGGAATTTGCCTCAGTATGTTCTTAATGATTTACCAAAAATAACAGCGTGTTAGCTAGCTAAAGTTAAAAGTTGGGGTTCTAGTGACTACAGCTCAGCGCCACATGGTTATGAGTCACCCAGATCACAACATACCCAAGGTAACCAAAACCCCAAACCAATTCATAACCTTATTTAATCTGCAGTTATGTATGTACTCCGATCATGGTTATCCCTGTGCTTAGTTAGTCCTGCCTGTGACCGTCATGAATTGACCCATCATTAATCATGGGCTTTAAGGATTTCTTTTGTTTTCTGTCATATTGCATAAAATGAACCCCATGGCTGTGAGTCAGTGGACTCCACTGGTCTTTGTAATGATGGTGTCTCATTGGGGATGACTGGCTAACTGTCTTTGTCCCTACTTAAAGCTTAATAAAAGAATCCTGGTGTGGTGCTATAGGAAAAGCACTGGACTGAAAGATCAGTTTGAATTGCAAGGTTGGTGGTTCAAACTCACCAGATGCTCCTCAGAAACACTATACATGGTCGCTATGCATTGGAATGGACTCAACAGCACTTACCAACAGCAACAGAATAGCTTTGAATCTTGGTCCTTTTTCCTTCAGCACAGTATCTGCTTTGTACTCCTCCTAGGAACCAGATGCCTGGCTCCTTGAATTAGAGGTTTCTGGGTCAGAAATGGAGGGTTCTTACTAGATTCTCCATGAAGGCTCTGGCTCCATGCCAGTGTCTGCCTCTTCCTCCTCAGGTGGACTCAAGTGTCAAGGTCAAGGGGAGCCTTCTGCCTATATAAGGAAGAAATCTGGGAGGAATGAAGCTGGGAAAGGGGTTTGCATCCATCCAAGTCTAAATTGGTGAAGAAAGAAAGGCAAACCAACTAGGAAGACCTCTGGGTTGGAACTGAGTGGGTTGTGTGGTCTTCTCTTCTCATTTAAGCCACATCCTCCGCCCTTCACTTCTGAGTCATGCTGACGACTTTCCTTTATGTTTCTGGCCTCTGCTCACTTGCTTCCCTGATGTCTTGGTTCAGGGGTTCTCCCAGTAGTCCTGGAGATCGAAAACCCATACCTGACTTGCCAGTCATGACCAGAACAATCCTCCTTCTGCTGATAGGTGAGCTGGGGTCCCCACAAAAGCAGAGACTAGAGGGTTGGGGTCCAGGTAGAAAGAGACAAGAAAGTACACATTTTACACCGTAGCATTAGAGAGAGATTGGTACATAGGGTTTGAGATCTGGAGTTTATGAAGGGAAGGGATATTGGAGAAAGAGTGTTGTTGAAAGTTCAAGAGATGCCCTAAGGGATGACGTCATCTAGACAATCCAGAGATTTACGAAGGAGACTGAGCAAGTCTATCTATATCCTCTGTCTCTTTGTCCCCATGTTTACCTTATAGGAGCCTCAGGGATACAGGTGGGGAAGGATCATCTTTTGAACTTGGGTGCCACTCTGTGGAAACAGAGATCTAAAACCCAAAGGCAGACCAATGGGTGGAGAGTTGTCTCTGGAAGGAGAGCAGGGAGTCATAAGGAGCCTGGACGTAGGACTTCAGAAGACAAGGAATTCTGGGCCATTGGACTTAAAGAGAATATTGGTGAACTGGAGACCTAGGAGATAAAGCTGGCTGAGGCAAGAGGAAACTCTTCCTCCAGAATTTCTCTTTCTCACCTCCTCAGCCTTAGCTTCTTCTCTCTGCTTCAACTTGGATACAGACCAGCCAACAGTCTTCCACATGGACCGTGCTGGGTTTGGACACAGTGTGGCTCATTATGGCGACTCCTGGTAAGGACCAGTGGTGACTGACCTGTGGCTTTCACCTACTCGTCTTCCTGCCTAAGGGGTCGGTCCCTCTTTATCTGTCTGAGAACTTGCATCTCTGTCTGGTGTTGCAACCCCCAAGGTTATGAATATTTAGACTGAAAGCAGAAGCTGTCTTGTCATTACTAAAACCGTAGCTAATATTTATTGAGCCCTCACGAAATGTCAGGCATCGTGCCAAGCACATTATATGTAGACACAGATTGAATTCATATCTTTTGAGGTAGGAATCATTCAGCAAACACCTATTGAGTGCCTACATATGCCAGACACCGTCTCAGGAATGGAGCATACAGTAAAGGATAAAACAGACACAATTCCCTCTCTCTATGGAACTTAAATTTCATTTTTGGAGATGTGAAACAAGCCTTCCAAGTGACAGCCCGCCTCCAGTGTCTACGCTCTGAACTGTCATGTTCTATCTACATCTGCCCACAGGGTGGTGGTTGGAGCCCCCCAGGAGATAAAGACTGCCAACCAAACAGGTGGCATCTACCTGTGTGCCTACAGCCAGGGCACATGTAAGCCCATCTTCCCTCAGGGTGAGTCACTGCCCCTTCCTGGGTCCCAGGTCTGAGGGCCAAGAGTCCAGTTTCCCAGCTTCAGCTCTGTCTGCTGACCCTTCACCTTCAGACAGGCCTCATCAAAGGTTCCATCAAAGGCTCCCTGCTCATTGCACCTCTATACTTGTACCACGCTGTCAATATCTGGGAGACCCCTTGGCCGTTCTGACCACCTTGCATCCCACAGCTGAGGTGACTATAGTCCCTCTGTGCCCCTGAGGATGACCATGAACATATTTATCCCCATAGTGCCTCCAGATACTGTGAACATGTCCCTGGGTCTATCCCTGGCAGCCACCACTGACCCTTCCCAGCTGCTGGTGAGTTACTTTGGGTCACAGAACAGTCTTGAGGGGAAGACTGAAGACTTGGGACTACTGGCACTGGGAGTCTTGGGGAAGGGTGGGAAAGAAGCAGAGGCAATCTCTGCCACTGGCCCCCTGTGTCCCCAGGCCTGTGGCCCCACTGTGCACCGTGCATGCAGAGAGAACATGCACTTACTGGGGTTCTGCTTCCTGCTAGACCCCCGCTCCCATCAGGCCCAGAGGCTCCCAGCTGTTCTGCAGGGTGAGTATTCTTGGCCTTTGGGTCCTGCAAGGAGCCTGCACACATCTAACTGGGAGTATGGTGGGGCCAGAGACACTTCTGTTAGATTGGAGAAGGAAGGAGCTATCTGGGGAAAATATCTACTGGGTGATGCTATGGTTCCAAACATGGGTTGGGGAACCACTGCCTGTTTCACACCTTGCTGATCACCGTCCCACTGTGTGACCTCTCCTGTGACCTTATTCTTACTGAGTCTCAGTTTGTCTGTCGGATGGGGGCAGATGTGGATCAGAACCAGGGTCCAGCACAGTGTTTGGTACATGGTGACATGGTGAGAGCTCAACAAATGTCAACTGCTGTTTTTAGCGAGAAGGGGAGGTGGCGCTGTAGAATAAGCACTGGACGGAAAGGTCGGTTTGAGCAGCAAGGTTGGGAGTTCAAATCCACCAGCCACTCCTCAGAAACCCTATACAGAGGTGCTATGAATCAGAACCAACTCAACGGCATGTAACAACAACAAATAGAAACACACACACACACACACACACACACATATATATATATAGTTTTGGTTTTTTTTTTTTTTTTTTTTTTTGTACCATGTGGTGCAAGTTGGGGAAGAGAGGTGAGGGCGCATGCAGTCTGTGCATTGCATAGGGGCTGACTTTTCTTGGTGCTTTTGTGGGTGGGAGCGGGGGTGTTAAGGAGATGGAACAATGAGCTTTTCACACAATTCTGTGACCAACTGAGACAACTGGAAATACTGACACCTAACTACGAATCGGGCTGTGAACCTTAAGGTCAGCGGTTCGAAACTACCAGCAACTCCGCGGGAGAAAGATGAGGCTTTCTACTCCCGTAAAGATTTACACCCTCAGAAACCCTGTACAGGGTCGCTATGGGTTGGAACCGACTCAACGGCACTTAACAACAACAACAACTACTAAACAGTATTCTTCGCCCTTGGGTCCTGTGAGGAGCCGGCACACATCCTAGGGTCCAGACTCCCCCCTGCAGGATGTGGGCTCCCAGAGGAACACCCAGGACACCTCTTTGTGGTGATAGACCTCCAGAGCAGAAAGGGGAAGCTGAGAGTAGGAATGGAATAGGGTCTCCTTTTTATGAACTGGGAGAGTTTCTTTTCTGAGTCAAGTTTCAAATTGGTTTGATCTCCTGCTAAGAATCTGCGTTTCCATCCCTGATACTATGTGTACAGAAAAATGGACGGACGAATCACCTGAAGATCTTGTTAAAATGTAGGTTCTGATTCAGTATTTGGGATCCTGTTGTAGCACTGGGAGTGAATGTGCTGGACTGCAAGGTTGGTGTGAATCTCTAAGTCAGCGGTTCAAGCTCATCAGCTGATCCTCAGAAAACCTATACAAACGACTCAAGGGCACTTAACAATATCTAAGGGAGAGATCAGACCAGAGTGAACCAGTCGAAGACCTGCTTCAGAGGAGAGACACTGCTTTCATCCAGAAAAGAAGTGTTGTTGTTGTTGTTGTTGTATGCTGTTGAGTCGGTTCTGATTCATAGGGACACTGTATAGGATTTCCACGAGCCACTGGTGTGTTTGAACTGCTGACTTTGTAGTTACCAGTCCAGTGTTTATCCTACAGCACCCCACTAGGGCTCAGGAAGGGAGTTGTTGTTAATACCATCAAGTTGGTTCTGACTCATAGTGATTCTGAGGAGCAGCTGGTAGATTTGAACCACTGATCTTGTGATTCGCAGCCCAAAGCTGATCCTACAGCACCACACCAGGAGTCCAGGAAGGGTGTAAACGCCTGTATTTAAGATGAGAACAGAAAAAGGTCAGCGCATGTCTGTTGCCAGAGTGGACATTAAATATATTTAACCAAAGTTCAGTACTGACCAATGAGGACAAACTTTAGAGTGTTGAGGGAGTGGGTTTTTGTGACCAGGAGACTGAGGTCCTGGACTCTGAGGAGTGTCCCTTGGAAGACCAGTCCTGCCTCCTTCTCCAGAGTGCCCAAGACAGGAAAAGGACATCGTGTTCCTGATTGATGGTTCAGGCAGCATCTCCTCACATGAATTCGCTACAATGCTGAACTTCGTGAAGGTTGTCATGAACCAGTTCCACAGACCCAATACCCAGGTGTGGCCTTGGGGGAAGGCAGGGAGCTCTGCAGGGTACTACTAGAATGTACATTGCCAGAGGGGCATTGCTGGGAGAAGTGTTGGGGATTCTGGTGAAGAAGTCTCTGTTCCCACCATATGCTGGGTTTTTTTGTTTTGTTTCGTTTTTTCAGTTCTCCCTGATGCAGTTCTCAGACCGTTTCCCCATACATTTCACTTTCAACAACTTCAAACAGAGTTCAGACCCACAGAGCTTGTTGAATTCTGTGAAACAGCTAACGGGATGGACTCACACAGCCACAGCCATCCAACGGGTCACGTGAGTTCTGCCTTCTCCCAGGCCCTTCTTCCCCAAAGCACCTGAGTCTACCTTTGGGCCTCATATGTCTCTATGAGAAAGACACAGTAGTCTGAAACTCTACCTGGACTCTTTTCACTAAACTGGTTGCCTCTAGAGAGGAGGGGACATCTCCTAGTTTTCACAAGGGCATCTGAAGCAAGCAGTAACTCGATTCACAAATCTCTGAACCCTCTTCTTCCCTGACAGAAACGAAATGTTCAGTGTCAACAATGGGGCCCGTGAGGGTGCCACCAAGATCCTCATCATCATCACTGATGGACAAAAACAAAATGACCCCCTGGACTATAAGGATGTCATCCCCGGGGCTGAGAAGGCAGGCATTATACGCTACGCCATTGGGGTAGGTAGAATACCTTCCCGCCACTTCCTCACACTGCTTCGTCTCTACGCAACTTCCCTTCCAAGTACAGATGCCAGCTCTCTCCTCTCCTACTATCTTCAGAATAAGAACTCTGTCCCAGTTTGAGGGCCCACCACTCTTTTATCTAAATTCCTTGATACGTTTTGAGCCTTATTTTCTCATTTGCATACTGGGTAGGAAAATGTCAACCTTACATGGTGATTGGAGAATGTAGGCATAGGTCTTAGTTGTGTAGTGTTAGTATAACACAAATATCACAAGTGGATAGTTTTAACAAACAGAAATATATTATTCTCTCACAGTTTGTTGTTGTAAGTATCATCAAGTCGGTTTCAATTCATAGCAGCCCTGTATAGGGTTTCTGAGTTTCCAATGCTAAAAGCCCAACTTCAGTGTGATAGCTCGAGGGGAAGGCATTGTCTCTCTGTTGGCTCTGGAGAAATGTCCTTGTCTTCTTTCAATATCTGTGAACTAGTGTTCCTTAGAGATCTCCATGTGTCTTGCCATTAATCTTCTCCTAGGTCTAGAAGGTTTACAGCACAGAGACCTTAGCTAGGTCCCTCCTCTCTCTCCTTTTATCTCTTGTAGGATAAAGGTGATACAGGTCACATTCCAGAGAAATGCTCCTTACATCAGATCGGAGCTGTGATCTGATAAAGGATATAATATCCCACAGCAATCCCCTAGTAACTGATTGGCTATCACATCATGAAAGATGATTATATCATTACCTAACTGCCAGATCGCATCATTATAAAACTACCAAACCACTGGGAGTCACGGCCCCGCCAAATTCACATGTCTTTTGGGTACACAATTTAATCCATGACAGCATATTACATTTATTATTATTTTTGTTTGTTGATCTTTGCTGGGGATAGGTAGGAACGGCTTTTCAATATGCACATTCCTGGAGAGAACTAACTGCCATTGCATCGGCGCCCTCCCGTGAACATATATTTCAAGTGCAGAACTTTAATGCTTTGAGAAACATTCAAAACCAACTGAAGGAGAAGATATTTGCCATTGAAGGTAAGTCAGTGGTGGACTTGCTTTGGAAACCCTTACCCATAAGTGTTTGACCTCCTTGAACTTCGACCCCAATGTCATAGGCACTGACCCCTCTCTGTAGGCATTAGTTTCCAGCATTAGGTCTTCGCAAAGCTGAGGTTTTCTTCTTGAGCCCTCCACCCTCCAAAACCCATCTTTCTCCCATGGAACTCAAGTATCTTGCCTTCCCCCCAGGTACGCAGTCCACAAGCACAAGCTCCTTTGAATTGGAGATGTCCCAGGAGGGCTTCAGTGCTGTGTTCACACCTGTGAGTAGGGTCCCTTTCAGGCCAGTAGTGTGGGAAAAGGGAGAGGAGGGATGAAGGAAGCCAAGGGTTGGCGTCTGGATGAGACTGTGGCAAGTATTTTGGGGTAGAGTGGGTTCTATGTATCCTCTCAGCGTGTAATCCCTGGTATCCTTTCCTCCCAGGATGGCCCAGTTCTGGGGGCTGTAGGGAGCTTTGACTGGTCTGGAGGTGCCTTCTTGTATTCCCCAAATAAGAACCCTACCTTCATCAACATGTCTCGGGAGAATGTGGACATGAAGGACTCTTACCTGGGTGAGAAAAGGTTGGGGCTGAAGGTGGGGGACAAGACAGGGAGGTTGAGCTGCCTGGGAGGACCAGGAACAATGGAGGAAGGGAGGACAAGCCAAGGTCTGACCCCCACAGGTTACGCCACTGAGGTGGCCCTTTGGAAAGGGGTGCAGGCCCTGATCCTGGGTGCTCCCCGCTACCAGCACACTGGAAAGGTTGTCATCTTCACCCAGATGTTGAAGCAATGGGTACCACAGGCCGAAGTCACAGGGACCCAGGTTGGGTATGGGGACACGGGGGTGGAACATGAGGCTGGGCAGGGGGATTTGTAGTTCTTGGTGGGAAGATGCTGGTGGCTGGGGAGAGGTGGAGTCTGGCTCAGAAGTGGGTTTCCCTGGGAAGGGCAGCCAAGGTGACTTCAGGTTCTGCTTTCCAGATCGGTTCCTACTTCGGGGCCTCCCTCTGCTCTGTGGATGTGGATGGAGATGGCAACACTGAGCTGGTCCTTATTGGGGCCCCTCATTACTACGAGCAGACCCGGGGAGGCCAGGTGTCTGTCTGCCCCTTACCTCAGAGGGTGAGTGACTGATGACAGGGACCTGGACTGGGTTGACCCCACCGTAGGATGGAGGAGTTGCCCCAATTGGAGCCTGGCACTGGTTTTGTTCTGCAGCGGGCTAGCTGGGAATGCCGGGCTGTTCTCCGCGGGGAGCAGGGACATCCTTGGGCCCGCTTTGGGGCAGCCCTGACAGTACTGGGGGACGTGAATGGGGACAAGCTGACGGATGTGGCCATCGGGGCGCCGGGGGAGCAGGAGAACCAGGGTGCTGTCTACCTATTTCATGGAGCATCAGGGCTGGACATCAGCACCTCCCACAGCCAGGTGAGGCCTGTCACTAGGCCTTTATTTTTGTTTGTCTTTGCTTCTCCCCTCATCCACATTATCACCTGAAACCTTCTCCTCTTTTACCTCATCTACACTTCCTTGTCAAGCACTGGGCATCCTGTAGGCGACAAGAATAATCTGTGAAACTTTAGACATTGTAATCAACTGGTACATATTCTACTTGATACTTGAATGGGCTCTTCACCAAGCCTTTTAATCTCTCCAGCAGCTTTACAAGGTACATAGACCGGGCATAAATATTTTAAAGATGAAATCTGAGATATGGAGAAGGAAATTGACTTGATTTATCCAGGGTTATACAACGATGACTTCTGATTCCTAACCCAGTCTTTTGGTGGTTCCCTGTTATCTATCATTTTAGAGCTGGCTGCCCCAGTCTGCCTGTCCACTTACCTCTTCATCCTCCCAGATCCTGCTTCACTTTACTCTCTCCTTGCTATCCACAATGCTACCTTGTGTCCATCTGGGCAGGAGCCTCCTACCAAATGGGCAGGATTCCCTAAGAAGAGAGGGTTGCTTTCCTTGGCAAAAGTCAAGGAAACTCTGCTTAAAAAATCAGAAGAGGATTGTTATTAAGCATCAGAGATAAAAGGGTGTCAAATGTGGAAGAGAATTTAAAATTTTCATGCAATCCAGACATTCTAGAGTCATTGAAGCTAGATAAATCCCTGAAACTATTGCCCTAAAATAATCTTTAACTTTAAACCTTACACTAAAATGACACCCCACACACACAAGTCTTGATATTTCTTAATTGTAGGTGAGTTGGTTCAGACTCATATTGTGTATTGTGTTTCCCAGGAGAGGCTGATGAATTTGAACCGCTGACTTTGTGATTCAAATGGACATTATAGTATGGTGCATTATTCCACAACGCCACACCAAACAGTTCAATTAGTAACTATATGTGATCAAACTGGCAACAGCAGTTTGAAAATATAGACAGGAAACTTGGGGGTGGACAGCAAGCTTATGTTAATGGGGAAGGAACAATTAATAAAGGAATATGAGAATAGTTACACAATTTGAAAACTGTATGCCGTGTCACTAAATTGTACATGTAGAATTGTTGCACTGGTGTGTTTTGCTGTGTATATTTTCAACAACTGGAGAGCACGGTGGCTCCATCAATAAGCATTGGAATGTGAACCACAAGGTTGGTAGTTTGAGCTCACCAGTCATTTGTTCCGCGGGAGAAAGATGAAATCTTTCTGCTCCCACAAAGATTTAATGCCGAGGAACCCCTAAATAGGGCCACTATGAGTTGGAACCAACTCGATGGCATTTAACAACATTCTCAACAATAACAAAAACTAAAATATTTTTTAAAATAAGCAAAAATATCTGAATAGATATTTCTTAAGAAGATATACAAGGAGATGCTTGTTAATTTGAACTGCCGACCTTGTGATTCAAACCAACCTTGTGGTCCAGTGCATCATTCCACAGCGCCACACTGGTGGTGGTGGTTATGTGCTGTGGAGTCAGTTGTGACTCATAGCGGCAGGGTTTCTGAGGCTGCAAATCTTTACGGGAGCAGAAAGCCTCATCTTTCTCCTGCAGAACAGCTACCTTGCGGTTCGCAGCCCAATTCGTAACCACTACACTACCAGAGCTCCTTTACGCCACACTTGTTGTTGTTGTTAAGTGCCATTGAGTCGGTTCCGACCCATAGCGATCCTGTATAGGGTTTCCGAGGGTGTAAATCTTTACAGGAGTAGAAAGCCTCATCTTTCTCCCGCGGAGCGGCTGGTAGTTTCGAACCGCTGACCTTAAGGGTCGCAGCCCGATTCGTAACCACTACGCTAGGACTCCTAAAATACTACAGAGCTAAAAAAAATAGCGTGCTGTTACCTGCTACAACATAAATCAATCTCCAAAACACTGTGCTAAGTGGAAACAGCCAGCCACAAAAGACTATAAACCAGTTATGAAAGACTACAAATTAAATGCTTTCATTTATAAAAAAAATGTCTAGAGTAGGTAAATCTAATGAGGCAGAAAGGTTCAAAGTTATCAGCCGCTCCTTGGAAACCCTCTCCAGGCTCACAGCCCAACTGATGGTACTTAACGACAACAAAGCGAGGGAAGAGGAGTAAGGGGAACGGTTATGTGGTTACTTTTTGAGGTGAAAGAAATGTCCTCAGATTGATTTTAGTGATGATTGCACAAGTCTGTTAACATATTTAAAACCATTGGATTATATACTGTTAAATAACCTATGGACTTGTTGCCAAAGATAGAGTTAAGGAAGCATTCTGCAGTTGTTTCATTTACTAGCAGTGTATCTTGGTCAATTACCTCTCTGGGCTTTAGTTTCCTCATCTGTAAAATGGTAACATTAATAGAATCAACGTCACTGGGCTGCTACTGTAAGTATTCAATGAATTAGTACATATAAGGTGTTCAAAACAGCGTTTGGCACATAGTAGATAGGGCTTTTTTTTTTTTTAACCACTAGCCATGTTTGAAGGAGCTCTGGTAGCTTAGTGGTTACGAATCGGGCTGCTAATCTTATGGTCAGCAGTTCAAAACTACCAGCCGTTCCTAAGGAGAAAGATTAGGCTTTCTACTCCTGTAAAGATTTACCACCTCATAAACCCTGTACAGGGTCGCTATGAGTCGGAACCAACTCCACGGTACATAACCACCAACACTTATTATGAAAAAACTGTATTTGGTTCACATCAACTTGTTGAACCTCCTTTGCTTGATTGTAAATATTAACTGGTCTGACTCAAAGAGGAAACCTTCCTGGGTTCACTGACTTTTTCCTTCTTCCCACTTCATAATATATTCCATGATGGGCTTCAAAACAGTTCTGCCCAGTTCACTCAATGACTGCGGAAAGAAACTGAACAGACCCAAATTAGTAAAATGTGAGTGTATTGAAATACTAACCAGAACAGAAAAAATTATAGGTTGCTGCCCTGCTAGAAACGTAATCTCCCTTTGAGAAAGCAAGGGCTGTGTGAGTGTTGCGTAGCAATCAAATGTCTTGACTTGCAGAATCACAAACAATGGTACCCTGTTCAAAGATGGTGGTCAACCGCACAGTTTTGACTCTGTCTCTCTCTGTGGTCCTGGCAATAATCCAATTTTTACATCAGGCCCCTGAAAGAGTTCACTACGCCTTTTCCATGTCTCCCATTTCAGAGCTTTGACCCATATTTTTTTGCATTCTAGTTAGCATTTCACTTTACCACAATTTTTAAAATTCAGAGCTGTTTCAGTTTTACTTCATTGAATAAGTCTTGAACTGGTTTTAACTGGTTCAAAGTCCTGATCCTCTCACATACTTAATTAGAAAAGACTTGCATCATTGTTCACTTCTCACACACCCAGTGCTAGGCTATGGCATGAGATTAGCTTTCCTAGGTGTGAAGACTGTGGCATTGTTCATTTGGCTATGGTTGTGCTGTGTCTATCCACACATCTCCTTTCCTTTCTAGATTTCTTTAGCAATTGGTAAATTGCTCTTTTTATTTTTTTATTACTCTTAATGTCTGTTGGTACCAGGGATACACAGAAGTTCAAAGGGCTCATTCTACAAGGAATTAAACACTAGAGTACTAGGAATAATAAAAAAAGGCTCCACTGGGAAGAAAACTCAGGAGGATAGAGTTAAGGTATGGTTGCATCCATTTCCCACCTGTGCTTTCTTCTTCCTTGTCCTCTGAAGAGACAGGGCAGAAAAGGGGCATCGGCATTGGGGTCAGAGAATCTGATTTCAGTCTGGAGTTGGCCTCTTTGCTGACGAGTAAGAAGTGGGTCTGGATGAGCTCTGATGTCCCTTCCAGATCTAATAATTGTCATATGATATTATTGACTGTTAACTATGTATCAGATGCTGTTCTAAGAACTACATGACTTAATTCATCTCATGCTTACAGCTAAGCTCTGGTATTATCATCCCCATGTGAAAGACGAGGGGACTGAAGCATAGCTGTACATTGAGGGACAGGATTTGAATTGAGAATAACTGAATGAATGAATGACATTCAGACCAACAAACCAACATTTAAATTTCCATTTCTTCATTTACATTTGTTAGAAAACATTCTTTTTAGTCCTCATTTCCTCATTCCGTATCCCTCTTTTTAGGGTTTATTGGTGATGTCTTTTCACCACTTGGCCCTTCTTTCTGACTCCCACATTTCTACCTCCCTCCTTATTTCAAATTCCTCAACTTGCTTTTTTTTTTCTCTTCTGGCCAGAGGATCATGGGCTCCCAGTTCTCCTCAAAATTGCAATATTTTGGGCAGTCACTGAGTGGGGGTAAGGATCTTACCCAGGATGGGCTTATGGACCTGGTCGTGGGGGCCCGAGGACATGCATTGTTGCTCAGGTGAGAATGGCTTCCTACGTGGTCCTAAGTCCAGCCTCAGCTACTCAGCCCCCTTCTCTCTGTCCCAGGAACTAAAAACTTGTCCTAAGCTAAGGGTACTGTCCACAGGAGCAGGCCTGTGCTCAGAGTGCGGGTGAACATGTTCTTCACACCTGCTGAAATTGCAAGATCCGTGTTTGAGTGTCGGGAGAAGTCAGCCCCTGTCCAGCAACTGGGTAGTGCCACAATTTGCCTTCATATTTACCCAAGTTCTGACAACGTGAATGGTGAGTCACCTCCTCTCCAACCCAGAAGACCTTGATCCCTCGGAAGCTCCCCGGCCAGGATTCCTGTCTCCTGCCTTGCTCCTTACCCACTTAAGGAGCCCCTGGCTCTCTTATCCTTTTCTACCCCTTGTTTCTCCTACAGGTGACCTCCAGAGCTCTGTGACCTTTGATCTGACCCTTGACCCTGGCCGCCTGAATCCCCGTGCCATCTTTGATGAAACAAAGACTCGGAATCTGAACCAAGTCCAAGTCCTTGGTCTGGGCCAGCATTGTCAGACTGTGAAGTTGCTTTTGTTGGTGAGGATCTGGACTGGTGGGGAAGGCAGGGACAGAACACAGCAAGATATTCCCATCCTCTCTGCAGTCCCAGACCTAGCATAGAACCTAGCACTTGTTGTTAGTGCCATCAAGTCGATTCCGACCTATAGCGACCCTGTATAAGTTTTCCAAGGAGCAGCTGGTGAGCTTGAACCACTGACCTTGCAGTTCAAATGACTTTACAGTCTGATGCATTAGCCCACAGTGCCACACCAGGACTGGTGCTTAATGTTAACTGAACGAATGAGGTCAGCTGTAATTTTTCCAGAATACGCAGCTGGATTTCAGGGATGAGATTATGATTGCTTTGGAGAACTATGGGTTTGTGAGCTGGGATTCTCTTTATCATTAATTTGACAAATATTTACTGAGCCACTCCTGTGAAACATGCTTTGTTTTAGATGCTGGGAACACGTTAGTGGACATAACAGTCATTGTCCACAGCGGGTTCATAGCCTGGGTGGGAAGGCCAAAAACAAATTCCCAGATATAGATGTATGGTCAATGCTATGAAGAAACATAAAGCCAGGGAAGGGAACAGAGTGTCCAGGAGGCTGCTCAAAGGAGAGGAAGTGTGAATAGACTTGAATAACATGAATGAACCAAGTAGGTCAAGGCAGAGGACCACGAAGAAAAGGTTCTCAGGGGAAGACTACATGACAGGGTAATAACCCTCACAAATGTTTCTGAGTGCAGGGAGGTCTCATTATTACCCATTTTTTAGATGAGGAGACCGGGACACAGCTAAGAGATTCCTGGGATGCTCTTCTTAACCACCTGCTTTCTTCAATGTCTGTCCTTTAGGCCTGTGTGGAGGACTCCGTGACTCCGATCACCTTGCGTCTCAACTTCTCCCTTGTGGGAAAACCCATTCCCTCCTTTCGAAACCTCCAGCCCATGCTAGCCCTAGATGCCAAGAGATACTTCACGGCTTCTGTGAGTCTTGGTATCAGAGTCTCCCAGAAGTAATTTGGAGGAAGTGAGGTTGCAGACACCAGATTTTGGGGAAAACCTTCTTTGTCTTCCTCCCAGCTTCCCTTTGAGAAGAACTGTGGGACTGACCACATTTGCCAGGATGACCTCGGTATCTTGTTTGACTTCTCAGGGTGAGCCCTGTTCCTCCAGTCTCCCTCCCAGAACCTTGCGATCCCACCCTTGGTTTTCCCTTAGGTTCCTCCTCTAGGCTTAAAACCCAGGTATCCTGTCTCCCACTTATCTCTAACTTCTCTACCCAGACTATTTCTAGCTTTAGTCATGGAACCATCTCATCCTCCCACCTCCACAGCCTGAAGACTCTGGTGGTTGGGAATAACCTGGAGCTGCCCGTGAAGGTGACAGTGTGGAATGATGGCGAGGATTCCTACGGAACGACAATTACCTTCTTTTACCCAGCAGGGCTGTCCTATCGACGTGTGGTAGGGATCCAGGTATTACAATTCGGGGGGAGGAAGTAGTTAATAGGCTGAGGATCTAGATAGACTTCTACATTGTTGTTGTTAAGTGCCATTGAGTGGCGACCCTGTATAGGGTTTCTGAGGAGCAGCTGGTGGGTTTGAAATGCCGACCTTGTGGTTTACAGTCCAGTGCTGATCCTACAGCGCCACACCAGGATTCAAGCTACGGGCCACCATGCAAGAAGTCTGTACTCTTCTTGATTGGATGGTTCATGCCATCCAATCAAGAAGAGTACTGCTTGCCAAGGTTCATGCAGGGCTCAGCTCTGGGCATTTTAAGAGCACAGCATCAGCAATGAGTCCCAGGAGACCACTAATGTGAAAAACGAACCTTGTCTTATTTTTTCTGTGTGTGTTTCTCATCATATCCATATTCTTCTTTTTTTATTTATTTAAAGTTTTATTGTGAATTATGTGATACTTTACATGGGGGAACATTAGCTTTACATTCATCCTATCGTATATCGTTTCATTGCCATGGTTATAATCCCCTCCGTGCATCATCACCCAACCAAAGGGTATAATACCCTGCAAGCCTGCCCCCTGGTTGTCAGCACACAGCCCCTCTCCCTCTCTGTGTCTAAAGTCCCCAGCCACTCCATCTCTCCACATCATCGTCTCTGCCTCCATCTCTGGTGTCACTGCGTCACTGGGTAGGGTCCCTCTCTCCACTCTTCTCCCTTGATGGTCCCAGGGACCTCTGCTCCTAGACTACAAAGTCAATCACTCCCCTCCTTTTGCTACAAAATGTCTACATTTACATATCCAACCCTCACAATCACTCCTGATAACGATTATTCACTATTATATCACAAGAGACCTATCTGCATCTCCTTTTATTAGTCCCGCCCAAACAGATTGGATAATACTCAGTGGAGATTCTACCTTCCTCCATGCCCTCTGGATCTAGGCTCCTTTTTGAAAGCTTGTAAGTCAGTCACTTCTTGCCTTTGTAGTCCCGCCACTTTGGGTAGCCAATGTCCAAGTTGCCCATCCCTGTCTACTCTGTGTATGGAGGGGGTTGGAATGATCCTTGCTGTAAAGACTTGTGCCCTCTTTTGAGCTCCTGCATCCATGGGTGTAGGTCAAGTTCATCAAATTGTATCAGATTATTCTTTTTTTCCTCTTCTTTCTTCTTCTGGTTCAGCTCTGATCATCCAGTCATTGAAGCCAGGTCAAGTGGGTAGGTATTATCTGCAAGTGTGGGTGGTCTTATTCATATACCATCTCTTCTTATCAGCTGGACGCTTCACTCTCCACTCTAGTCCTCTGTGGCTATGTCACTGACTCTGGGCCCAAGAGTCCCCAGGTCTTGCCACACTGCTGGCCAACTAGGTCTCCACCAGGGTTCACCAGAGTCTATTGAACATTGTAGGGCTTAGCTCGCAGCTTCATTGCTGTTTTCCCCTCACTTCCCCTTTTCAGTGATGAACGTGGTCACCAATCAGAGTGCATGTCTGTTTGTGTATTCCCATTGAGTCTTAGTCTTGGAAAGGGGTTTGCCCTGAGGGGACTCGACCACTTGCCTTGATATCTCCTGGGCATGCAACTTGCTTGTTCTTGTAGTAATCAGTCAGTCTGCCTATATTGTTTTGTAATTTTCCTGTTGGTCTTTCTGTCAAGAAGTATCTTCTGTTCTTCTAGCCACTCCAGGCTGGTCTGCTTGTCCTTTCAAGTGGAAATTTCCCACCTCAGAAGATTCTGGATAGGGTTCAGGATTCCACCTATGGTCTTAAGTAATGCAGAGGCTCCACAGGAAGCCTCCTTCATTGGGCACATTGTAGCCCCAATTTTAGGTATTCCAATCAGTTACAGGCAGAAGACAGACTTATAAGCTTTCTATAGTGCTATTTCTGGCTATTCCTTTTTCTCCCCTTCAAGTGTCTATTTTATAATGGTATGCCATGGAAACCAAGATTTAAAAGACAGCCAAGCATGTTAACATTATTTACCCCCTTTTCCCTATTCCAACCATGCCTCAATCCCTGTATCCCAGAGCCCTGTTGATCCAAGATTGTGCATACATCATTATTTACCTCTGTCCCACTTAGCCCATGCAAACCTGCCTAATTATTCACCCATCCTCCTTGTTCTCCCATTCCCCTCGCCCTTCTTGTGTATTGCCCCCCTCCCTAGCACTCAAACTATCTGTGTCTATTCCCTAGCCTGTGCTCCACCTTCCCCTCCCTCTCCTGACCCCACTCCCACATCCTGGTAACCAGCAAAGAGTCCCCTCCCCCCCCACCCTTTAGTATGGGTTCTTTTTCTTAGTCTTTTATAGTAGTGGTCCTATGCAGTATTTCTCCTTTTGTAACTGACTAATTTTACTCAACATAATGTCCTCAAGGTTCATTCATGTTATGCGGTGGCTTGCAACTTCCTTGTTATTCCCATATTCTTCTTGAGAAATACATACCTAGTCTTCAAATATTTTAAAACAGAAAAGGTTGGATTTATTGGTTATGCTAAATCAAAGATTGGCAAAGTTTCTTCAAAGGACCAGGCGATAAATATTTTCAGATTTCTGGATCATACAGTTTCTGCCTTAGTTGTTCATCTCTGCTATTGTTGTACAAAAACAGACATCAACAATATGTAAATGAATAAGCGTGGCTAAATTCCAATGTAACTTCATTTGCAAAATCAGATGTTAGGTGGTAGTTTACTGACCCCTGTTCTAGAATACAGAACTAGAATTGCAGAGAGTCAAAGAGAAATAGTTTGTTTAACAAAACATTTAAACATTTACAAAAATAGAGAGTAGTTCAATAAACCCCTTAAAAACGTCTCGTCTTAGAGTCAACAGTTGTGAGCTTTTTGCCACATTTGTTTCATCAATGTATCCTTCCTTATTTCACTCAGTGGCTCTGAATATTGGGGTGTCTTCTTACAAGTGACCCCAATGCCATTATCACATCTGATTAAAATATCAATTTGTTGGTATCATCGTTGTTAAATGCCATTGTGTCAGCTCTGACTCATAGTTTCCCAGGGGTGGCTGGTGGGTTTGAACTGCTGACCTTGTGGTTAACAGTCCAGTGTTTATCCTACAGTGCCACACCAAGACTCTCTGCTTGGTATTGTGATGGTAGTTATGTGCCGTGGAGTCGGTTCCAATTCATAGTGACTGTGAATAGGCTTTCCGAGGCTGTAAATCTTTACGGGAGCAGAAAGTCTCATCTTTCTCCCATGGAACTGCTGGTAGATTCTAGCTGCTGACCTGGGTAGCAGCCCAGCTGAACCCACTACACTACCAGAGCTCCTTCCTTGGTATTGTTGTTGTTGTTAAGTGCCATCGAGTTGGTTCTGACCCATGGCGACCCTATACAGGGTTTCTGAGGCTGTAAATCTTTATGGGAGCAGAAAGCCTCATCTTTCTCCCACGGAGCAGCTGGTAGTTTCAAACTGCTGACCTTAAGGTTCGCAGCCCAGTTCGTAACCACTACGCTACTAGAGCTCCTTTTTCTTGGTATTAGACCATAATAAAATGTCCTTAATTGTCTCAATTTGAACCAGGATGTAGACTAGGTACCATGTTACATCTAGTTATACCTTATATCCATGTTAGTCTAATATGCCTAAGGGCTGCATATTTTGAGTTGATATATGAAAGGATTCACTAGGAATTAGCAATCTCTTTAACAAGGATTGTGAGGAAGTAAGTGCCCCATTATTGAAAGCATTCCTAGACATATCAACCAAATGCAATTCCTGAACCGTTGTTAGTTCTTAATTGTAACAAGTGAGCCATAGAACAGTATTTTGAGAAACAATTTAGAAAAATCTGAATATGACCTGAGTGGAGTGGTACTGTGAGATGAGCACTGGATCACAAGGTCAGTTGAACCATAAGGTTAGTGGTTCAAACTTACCAGCCACTTCTTCGAAAACCCTATACAGGGTTGCTATGAGTCAGAACCAATTTGACGGTACTTAACAACAACAACAGCTAATATTAAGGAGTTCTTGTTAATATCTAGGATAAACATTGGACCACTAATCTCAAGGTTGACAGTTCAAGCTCATCAGCTGCTTTGTGGGAGAAAGATGTGGCTTTCTGCTGCTATAAAGATTTACAACCTTGCAAACCCTATGCACAGGGTTGCCATGAGTTGGAACTGACTAGACAGTGCTCAACGTAACTTTGCTAATCTTGTTGGTATGCCAGTGGTCTTGTAGTTACATAAAAAATTCTTATCTGTTAACTATAAAAGTTGATGTATATCTGGATGAATCGATAAGCTAGCTCAAATCTGCTTTCATGTATTTAAAGTATTTATATACTCTGACAAAATGGAGAACAGGAGAATAAAGCACAAGATGAAGACTCTTGGCTATAGGTGACAGATATATGGGAGTTCATTTATCTACTGCTCTACTTTTGAGTATGTTTGAAATTTTCCAGAACAAAAAGGCTTTTTAAAACTAGCAATAAATCAGAAACTCTCTAATAAAGTCACATCTGGGATTTCTACATTTGGAAGAAGTTTGATAAGACAGTATCCTTAGATCTTTTAAACATATATAACCTTATGGTAGATGCCAGGGAACTGTGTTACTCTATATGAGATCTCTGTGGAACACAAACAAATGCTCTTCTGCCTTGTTTTGAAACCTGCCCCTGCCTAGAACCAGCTGAACCTGCCCTCCCCGCGCCTGACCTGTGACAGCGCCCCCACCGAGAGCCCGGGGGCCTGGAATACCCGCTGTAGTCTCAACTACTTCATCTTCCGGGAGAATAATAAGGTCAGCCTTGCCTCCTCCCATTTTCTAATCCTCCACCCTGCCTCACCCTCTGTCTGTGACTTTCCCCTTGCCCACCTCTTCCTCAGATCACTTTCGTGGCCACCTTTGACATCTCCCCCAAGGCCAGACTGGGAGATCAGCTGCTACTGATGGCCAATGTGAGCAGGTGAGTTGGGCCAGGCTCAGAGGCAGCAACCCATCTCCCTTTCTCCTCCTTCTCTGAGACCCTTCCCAACTAGGTTCCTTCTCTTTCTTTAGTGAGAATAACAGCCCCAGGACCAAAAAGACCAGCTTTCAACAAGTGCTCCCTGTGAAGTATGCTGTCTACACCGTGATCCGCAGGTGCTGTAGCTTGATCTCTAAAGAGTGCTTCTCCATCTGATTGTGTGTGTGTGTGTGTGTGTGTCTTATACTCCACGTGACAGATGAACATCTGGGTTATTTTTAGTTTTTATTATCTTCCGCTTTCTGATTGGTAGATGATACTGCTAACAGTACTTATTAATTAATCAATGAGTGTTTATTATGGACTTGCTATGATATTATTGGTTCCAACTCAATGGCACCTGACAACAACAACAATGATATTAAAAATTGTGGTCTTATTAACATTATATTTTACATTTAACGGGGGTTACAGTTCTTAGAAACCTTTTTCAAAAGCTCTAACACTGTCTTGGGTTCCCTGAGGGCAATAAGTATGAAGCATATCTCCATCTCTGAAGTTCTTACAGCTTTATTGGAGAGTGAGGTTACACTGATGCAAGTCAGAATTTCATCAAGCCCCCCCCCCCCAACTACCACCATGCTTCTATGTCTTGGAGTGATGGGGGCCCCAAAAGAATGCTAGAGCCTCATGTAAGGGGAGGCCTCAGCTAAGTGTTAGGTTTATAACCTTGGGCTTGGCCAGCTGTGATCTTCAAAGGGACTTGGCATTGGGCTGGGACACGTCTTCCTTACAAGAAACAGACTTGTAAAATTTTAGAGCAACTTGTCCAGTTTACCAAATTCTAACAGTGTTCCTATCATAGTGACCACCCAAGACTTCCTTTCCCAAAACCTCTTTGGAAAGGACGAGAAGAGATGATCTGCCTTTCATGGAGGTTGGGTGTCAGAAGATGCCGAATATAAATATAAGGTCTTAAAATGCTGCTCAAGGAGGATTAGACTTGAAGTGTTTGGCACTAAGGAGCTATTTCAAGTCAAGTGTTTGAGCAAAAGAGTAGTATCAACAAATACCTCCCTAGCATTCACTGTGTACCAGGCACAATGTGATGGTTATTTTCCATAAATTAATTTGACATTCAGTAAAGATTTATTGATCGCTTAGAATATGTCATCAAAAAGCAGACATAAATCCCTGCCCTGTGGTGCTCATCTTCCTGATGTATAATGAGTTGGTGTGACTTAGCCCTGACCAGTTCCACCCACGTGCCTCAAGTTTCACACACACACCTGCTTACTTCAGGACACTCAGAAACCTACTGGGTATACGGTCTGAGCTTGCTGGTTTCCTTGGCAGAGGAGGGAAGAGATTTCAAGGTAGGGCCACAATTTGGATTTTACTAACAATGGAGAAGTGCCCATGTGAGGGACCAGGTTGGCCACTGGATCTCCAGACCAGAGTAGATCTGAAGTGATGTTGTCAATGTAAAGACTGCAATTGGACATTCCCTCATTTCCAAGGCACAGACCCAGAAAAGTCAAGGAAACTGGAAAGAAAGACCCCCCAGAGAAGGCTTGTGGGAGACTAGAGAGGGAGCAATGTCTGTTAGACATTAGGCCAACAGCATTAGTCTGAGTCTCCCCAAACCTTTCGTGTGTTCTACCTGCCTACCCATCATCTTATGTACTGAAGAGGACCTGAAAATGAAACTGGGGTACAAAAAAGGGCATAGCTCTCGGCTTCTTTTACTGTACCCCGCTACACCTCTCTGCCAGTCTCTTCTGTGGGTTTGAAGTCCATTCCTGCTCCTAAATTCTACCATAACCTCAAACACAACCACAGAGCTCATCCCAGACCCCGCTTTTCTAGCACCTGTTCTATCATGTTCCCAGTCAGGAAGCCCCCACAGAACTTCAGATCTGTTTCTGCCTTCTCTCTCCACAGTCATGAACAATCTACCAAGTACCTCAACTTCTCAGACTCCGAGAAGGAAGAAAGCGGTGTGATCAAGCACAGATACCAGGTAAGTGGTGGAGAGCCAGGAGATTGGACTGAGGCCAGGGATGGAGATTGGGGAAGAAGGTCTAGCTCTGCCTTCATTGTTCTTTGCTCAGGTGAACAACCTAGGACACAGGGACCTGCCTGCCAGTATCAACTTCTGGGTGCCTGTGGAGCTGAACCAGGTGGCTATGTGGACAAAATTGGAGGTGGTTCATTCCCAGGTATTGATGATTGTGCATGGATCCTTCAGCCTTTTAGCTGGATTCTCTGTGTCCCCATCAATTCCTGATGCTCCCACTGAGATGCTCATTCTTTATCTTTCTTAGGATCCATCCATTCAGTGCTCATATGAGAAAACAGTGCCCACAGTGTCTGATTTCCTAACTCATATTCAGAAGAATCATGTGTTGGTAAGGATGGCTCTCAGCTGGTCTCTACTCTAAGCCACACACCAGAAGAATTAAATGAAAGAATCTGTTACATTCAGACGGGAACCTATTGAATGGTCTTCTTGCATTCAGATATGGCTGTTCCTCTCAAATCAGACAGTTTAATACTGTCTTCTCCCTTCAAGTCCACCTTTCTCTATTTGGTTTTGCTTCTCTGTCCCTAGGACTGTGCCATTGCTACCTGCCAGAGGTTTCATTGTGATGTCCCCTCCTTTGACATCCAAAAGGAAATTGACTTCATCCTCCAGGGCAACCTCAGCTTTGGCTGGGTCAGCCAGGTATGTAAGGCCCAACAGCAGAGCCCCTCCCTAGATTCATGTGGTACCTGATGTGTCTGTGCCCACGCTGACATACCTAGAGCCAACTCTTCATCTTTACCTCTTTCTTTTGCAGACACAGCAGAAGAAGATATTAGTCATGAGTATGGCTGAAATCACATTCAACACATCTATATATTCCCAGATTCCAGGACAGGAAACATTTATGAGAGCCCAGGTACTTATTGTGTGGTAGGCAGTGGGCAGGTTGGTGAAAGGGCTCTGGATCCCAAATACACAATGGGAGTGTGGGGATTAACAGGCCTGGAGGAAGGAAGATGAAGGTCTTGAGTCCGTGGGCGCTTTTGCATCTTGTTCATTGAAACAACCTTCATCTGTTAGTTTGTCATATTGTGGTGGTTTGTGTGTTGCCATGATATTGGAGCTCTGGTAGTATAGTGGTTACGAATTGGGCTGCTAACCTCAAGGTCAGCAGTTCGAAACTACCAGTGGTTCCACAGGAGAAAGATGAGGCGTTCTGCTCCCGTAAATATTTACAGCCTCGGAAACTCTGTGCAGGGTCACTATGAGTCGGAACCAACTCCACGGTACTTGCCAGCAACAACAACATGATATTGGAAGCTATGTCATTGGTATTTTAAATACCAGCAGGGTCACTGTCACCTTTGGTGGACAGCTTTCAGTTGAGCTTCTACTAAGACCAGGAAGACGGAGAGGTGGATCAATTCTGAATTGTTAGCTACTGAAAACCTTATGACTGACAACAGAACACTATCTGACATAGTGCCAGATAGAGGATGAGCATCTCAGGTTGGAAGACATTCAAAATATGATGCTGTTGAGCTTCCTCCTCAAAGTACAGTTGACCTTAATGATGTGGTTGGAGCAAAGCTTTTAGAACCTTCATTTGATGATGGGGATCAACTCAAAATGAGAAAAAAATGCTGTGAATGTTCATTAATAATTGGAACATGAAATGTATAAAGTATAAATCTAGAAAAATTGGAAGTTGTAAAAATGAAATGGAATACATAAAGATTGATATTCTAGGCATTAGTAAGCTGAAATGGACAGGTACCGGCCATTTTGAATCAGCCAATCCTATGGTTTATTGTACAGGGAATGACAAATTCAAGAGGAATGGTGTTGCAGTCATTGTCAAAAAGAGCATCTCAAGCATTTGAAATTACATTTCAAGTATTTGAAGTATAATGCTGTCTGTGGTAGGATAAAATCCATACGCCTGTAAGGAAGACCAATTAATACCACTATTATTCAAATTTATACACCAACCACTAAAACTAGGGGTGATAAAGTTGGAGAATCCTACTCAAAGTAAGTTAACAACAACAAACTAACTTCTTCAATCTGAAATTAATCAAACATGAAATCAATATGCACTGATAATTACTAGTATTGGAATATGAAAGTTGGGAACAAAGAGGAAGGATCTTTAGTTGGAAAAGATGGCTTTGGTGATAGAAACACTGGAGATCACATGAGAGAATTTTGTAAGACCAATGACTTCTTCATTGCAAATATCTTTTAGCAACATAAACAGTAACTATACACATGTACCTCACCATATGGAATACACAGGAATCAAAGTGATTGCATCTGTGAGAAGAGATGGTGGAAAAGCTCAGTATCATCAGCCAAAACACATCCCAGGACTTACTGTGGGACAGACCATCAATTGCTCATATGCAAGCTCAGGCTGAGGCTGAAAAATGAAAACAAGTCCATGAAATCCAAAATACAACCTAGACTATATACCCCCTGAATTTAGAGACTATCTCAAAAACAGATTTGACATAGTTGACACTAATGATCAAAGACCAGAAGAGTTATGGTATGACATTAGGAACACCATATAGGATGAAAGCAAAAGGTACTAAAAAGACAGGAAAGAAAGAAAAGACATAAAATGGATGTCAGAAGCTAAAATGAGGAAGTAAAAGAGCTAGACAGAAAATTTCAAATGGCAGCTTGAGAAGACAAAGTAAGGTATTATAATGAGATGTACAAAGACTTGGAGTCCAGTGTTTCTCAAGCTGAAAGAACTGAAGAAAAAATTCAGGCTTCAGCATGCAATACTGAAAGATTATATGGGCAAAATGTTAAATGATGCAGGCATCATCAAAAGGGGATGGTACAGAGTCAGTGTACCAAAGGCATTGGTTGATGTTCAACCATTTCAAGAAGTACCATATGATCAAGAACTGATGGTTACTCTGAAGGCATTCATGAAAAACAAAGCTTCAGGAATTGATAGACTAAAAATTGACATGCTTCAAAAACTGATGTAGTTCTGGAGGCATGCACTCATTTGTGCCAAGAAATGTAAAGACAGCTACCTGGCTAATGGATTGGGAGAGAACCATATTTGTGCCCAAGATAAATAAAAAATGGTTGCAGCGATACATTGACAGGAGCTGCCAGAAATTCAAGTAGGATTCAGAAGAGGACACATAACAAGAGATATCATTGCTGATGTCAGATGGATATCGACTGAAAGCAAAGAGTACCAGAAGGTTGTCTGCTTGTGCTTTACTGACTATGCAAAGACATTCGATTGTGTGTATCATAACACACTAAAGTAACATTATAAAGAATGGGTATTCTAGAACACTTATCTGTGCTTATGAGGACCCTGTACATAGAGTCTGAGGCAGTTGTTCAAACACAACAAGGAGACACTGAATGGTTTAAAATCAGGAAAGGTGTGCACTAGGTTGTATCCTTTCACCGTACTCACTCAATATGTATTCTGAGCAAATAATCCAATTCAAGATGCTGAGTTATATGAAGAAGAATGTGTAATTGGGACTAGAAGAGGACTCATTAACAACCTGCAATATGCAGATAATACAATTTTGCTTGCTGGACGTGAAAAGGACTTGAAATACTTACTAATGAAGACCAAGGACTACAGCCTTCAGTATGGGTTGCACCTCAATGTAAAGAAAGCAAAAGTTCTCAAAATGGGACCAATAAATAATATCATGATAAATGGAAAAAAGCTTGAAATTGCCAAAAAAAATTATGGGGTCCACAATCAATGTTCATGGAAGCAACAGCCAAGAAATCAAGTGACGTATTGCTGTCAGTAAATTTGCTACAAAAGACCTCTTTAAATTGTCAAAAAGCAAAAATACTAGCTTGAGGACTAAGCTGCCCCTGACCCAAGCTATGGTGTTTTCAATCACCTCATGTGCATGTGAAAGTTAGACAATAAATAAGGAAGACCATAAAAGAACTAATGAATTTGAATTAAGGTGTTGGAGAATAAAATTGTGGGGGTTCTAGAAAGTACTATGGACTGCCAGAAGAACAAAGAAGTCTATCTTGGAAGAAGTACAGCCAGAATGTTCCTTAGAAGTGAGGAAGGTAAGACTTTGTCTCTCGTACTTTGGACATGTTGTCAGGAGAGACCAATCCTTGGAGATGGACATCATGCTTGGTAAAGTGAAAGGGTCAGTGAAAAAGAGCAAGATCCCTAACGAGATGGATTGATACAGTGGTGGCGACAATGGGATCAAACAACAATTGTGAGGATGACAATGTTTTGTTCTTAGAATCATGTGAACAAAATAATGCACACAGGGTCACTATGAGTCAGAACTGCTTGATGATACTTGAGAGCTACAACATTGAAGCAGGATTGTGAAAGGAGAGGAACAAACTGGGAATTGGCAGAAGGAAGGAACATATTGCAGGGGTGTGGGGGATCTGGGATCACACGAGTCCTGCTGCATTCTAATGGCGTCATCTTCATTTCAGACGGAGACATTACTGGAGAAGCAGGACGTCTATAACCCCAGCACTGTCATCGTGGGCAGCTCTGTGGGAGGTCTGTTGCTGTTGGCTCTTATTACGGCTGTGCTATACAAGGTGAGTGTTTTGTTCTACTCTTGACACCACCAGAATCGGATCCCACTCTTTCTACAGTGTAGGCAAGCACTCACTTTGGAGTTAGGCAAGACTGGGTACCCATCCTTGTCGCTGTTGCTTATTGTAAGAGACCCCCTTCCCATCTATGACACCACCAGTGATTAATTCTTCCCCACGTTTTTATCTTCCTATGCAAAATTCTCAGACATGCACTAATCTCTCCCTTACTTTTCCATTCTTCTCTACCTGTTTCTATATTTCCTTTGATAACAGATTATAACACAAAAAACCACAGGCCTGGGTTGGAATGTTCACACCACTTGGTGTGAGTCTTGCTCTACTCTGGGTCTTGGATTCTTTTTTTTTTTTTTTTTCTTCTCACAGCATTATATCATTTTTATTATAACAAAGAAACTAGTGAACCACATGGAATATGTATGTATCCCCCCAGTGATATTCATCTATGTCTCAGTAACATTTTAAGTGTGCGGTAAAGGTTCTATTTAAGCAGTCTAGTCTTCAATTTAGCTTCTTGAAAAAAAGAAAAATAATAAAATATAGTTTCAGAGAAATCACTAGAAATAAGGCTCTTAAACTTCATTTAAAACAGTACATTGCATCTCCCCACAAACACACTCAAATACGATCATATAGTGAACTGCAATTATTTCAGAATTATCTTTCTATTGCTCAGCACATAATCTAACCTGAACATAATGAACATGCTAACCAAAATACCTAAGTAACTCAATTTATTATGCAGACCAAACTATACCAAGGGCTAAAGCTTCAAAAGTTTTCAGAATAAGAAAGAAAGCCACACTGTAATAGCAATCTTGACCAATTTTCAATTATACAAGTAGAATACGGTTTCCACTTAGTTATAAAGAGTTAATTAATTATAAAGAGTCCCCAAAATGAATGATTATGGGAAATGAGATAAAATATTACGTAAAGCTAGAAAATAAGAATTAAATGTTAGCCATTACTGTTTAATCCTTTCACGTTATATTTTGAATTGTCAAAACACATCATAGATAGAGACATCTTATATTTGGAAAAATGAACATATGAATACTGTTACATGCCATTCAAGCTGTTGGCTTAGCTCAGGTGACCGTTCTTAGCATTCCCTAGCTCCTTGGCAATCATTGTTGTTGATTGTAGTGACATCTATTGGCAAGGCAGAGATCAACTACAGATTTCATAACAATATAAAAGTAACCAAAAATTTAAACCAAATACACTACTAGTATTGTTGTTTAGTGCCATCTCTATTCATAGCAAAATGGGATAGAAGCAACATTTGCTGTTTAGTGCCATCGAGTGGACACTGACACATAGTGATCCTGTATAGGGTTTCTGAGGAGCAGGTAGTAGGTTTGAACTGCCAACCTTGTGGTTAACAGTCCCATGCTGCTCCTACAGCACCACACCAGAAGTCCAGGAGCAACACTAGTTGCTCAGTAAGTCCTTTTTAGTAATTCTACATCACATTACATTGGCATGGTGCATAAAGCAAGGCAATGGAAGAGAGAGCCCTCAATGTGACCCTAACCACTGACAGAGACCTGGATTCTAGTGCTGTGGATCGTGGATTCTTAATCTGGAGGTAATCCTACCCAGCTCAAAGAATTATGGTAAATTTTAAATGACATAATGTGTATAAAGTTTCTAGCACAGTATGTCGAACATCGTGAGGGCTCCAGAAATACTGGCCAACCCCAATCATCTCTTATCCTCTCTTTCACTGGATATTCTGATTTTCATCTTCTTCCTACAGGTTGGCTTCTTCAAACGCCAGTACAAGGAAAAGATGAAGGAAGACAATGAAGAGACAACTCCAGAAAGGGAGACATCAGACTCCCCAGATGCCCAATAAGCAGCTTTTGCTCCTACCTCATATTCTCCTTTGGACTTGCTTTCTCTTCAGAAATTTTCCAGTCCTCTTACTCTCACCTAAGCCAGGTCCAACAGGGGAGAAATATTCCCCATGCAGAGATTGGGAGCAGGCTGTTTTAGAAACGTTGTCTGGCAAAGGTCATTTGTCTTGTTAAAGCTCCAAATGGTGACTCCTACCACAGCGTCCCCGCTGTGCTCCCGTCTCCCTGGGGTCTTGGCCTGGAATATCTAGAACTACATGAACAGTAGCCTCAGACCCTGAGCTCCCTTCTTGAACTAGTCACCAGTGATATTTATAAAATACAGTACTGAACAAACCACTCATCCTCCATTTAAACCACCATTGAAAGTAGTTAAATTATAAAATACTTTAATGAGAATCTGGTCCTATAGTGGGGTTTTAAAAAAATGTGTTTCATGAACCACAGGCAGATGGGTGTTCTACTCAGGTTTTTCAAGGACAAAAAGGCAATAAATAATTTTAGCCACATTCTTCTCACACATTTGGGACATGCATTTCCCAGAAGTCTGGTTATATCATAATTGTGTCCTTACTAGCTGCCCCTGGGTTATAAGGACTGCAGAGGACTCTGGTCGAACATTCTTGCAGCAAGGTGTTATCTTCACATAGCTTTCCTCTGTGTGTTATTGTTTACATGAATTAAATTTGCATTTTTCAGAGTTGCTATTGTATTGCATTTTATTTACAAACCACAAAAATGGATCAATGATTCAAATGGGATTCATTGAAACATGAAAGTTGTCATTAAAAAATCAATAATTGCTATGACTTAGGATAATGTCAACAAAATACCTATTGGATGAGATTCATGTACATATACAGTATAGAACTATAAGAATGCTGAGATGAATAACTGTGAGTCTACAAACTACAATATGCCTCGAGAATAAAATGTCATCTAAAGACTGGATTTTATTGGGTCAGCTGTCTCTTTGTGTCTATTGTTCAGCATGACACTATCGAAGTTTTTTTGTCATTCTTAAAGCACCATGACCTTGCAGGGAAGCAACAGAGCTTTCTTGGAAAAACTGCAACATAAAGCTTTACATGAAAAATTGATGAATTTTATCACCAAATGCAAGGGGGCTTATCTTACTTAGTTCTCTAGAGAAACAAAATTAATGAAGCTTATAGATGTATGAGGTCTAGTCAAAAATTATCTGCACTCTGGCTTTAGAATTAATTTTAAACAACTTTTAGAAAAAGTAAAATACATCATTCTTCAACATACTCTCTTTGCTTTTCAATAATACACTTTGTCCATCTGTCAACAGCTTTTGTATTCCCTTATTAAAAAATTATTTAGGCTGAAGTGTGGTGCTGTGGGTTAATGCACCAGACTGCAAAGTCATTTGAACTGCAAGGTCGGTGGTTCAAGCTCACCAGCTACTCCTCGGAAACCCTATACAGGGTCACTATGGGTCAGAACCGACTCAATGGCACTTCACAACAACAATAATGAGCCACAAATGTACCACTGCCTTCATTTCTTCATCAGAGATGAATCTTCATCTTTGAAGGGCTGCTTTCAGGGAACCAAACATGCAACAGTTTGATGGAGCAAGATCTAGACTATTGGGAGGATGCTTTAACACCTTACAGCAAAGTTTTTGCAGAGTGTCAACAGTGTGGGCAGAGGAGTGCTGGACGTGTATTGTCATGCAAGATCACAAAACCCTAGGATAGCAGTCATCTGCATTTTATCAAAGTTTAGGCTTCAGCTCTTCAGTGAGCATCTCACTGTAATGAGAGCAGTGTTGATTATTTAAACCTTCTTCCTGATAGGGTTCCCAAGACGGGCCCTTGCTTGTTGAGAATCCCAGAAAACCATAAGCATCATTTTCCACTTGAGGTTGACTTTTGAACTTTTTCTTGGACGGCAATTGAGCATGCTTCCATTCCATACTCTGCCATCTGCTCTCATCACCACTCGTAGTGGTGAATCCGTGTCTCATCACCAGTAATAATTTTTTAAAGAAAAACGGTTACCTTCTTTCAAGTATTGGTCCAAGTTTTGTTTGCAGATGTCCAAACATTTCTGTTAATGCTCTTCGGTGAGTTGTTTTGGTATCCATCTTGCACTAACTTTTCGAAACCCAAGTCTTTCGTGGGTTATTTCGTAGGTGGAGCCATGGCTGATTTACAAATGATTTGCCACCTAATTCATTGTCACAGAATCATTTCACGGGCACGCTTAATGTTGTCACCAGCCATAGACATAGACAGGCGTTTTAATGTAATTGGAGTGCGGATAATTTTTTGACTCACTCTCATGTATACAAAGAGAGGTTTCTGTCAAGGAAATGGTTCACATAGTTACAGAGGTGGGCAAGTCCTAAATCTGTTGGTCAGATGTGAGGCTGCAGACTTCTGAGTTACAGAGCTGACAGCCAAGAAATGCAAGTCAAATGACAATAAGCTGACTAGTTGCTGATGACTCCTAGAACCAGCAGGATACGGGCAGGTCAGACAGCAGGCAGGCAGGTCTGTCAGGCCCAATGGCTAACTATTGGGATTTCTACAACCAAATTGTATTACCCTCATTCTCCTGACTTGAAGATGTTCTTTACCCATCAGAGAAAAGCAAACAAACAAATGATGGATATACTGTTGGATGTAATTTAAAATCGCATCTCAAGGCTGCAACTAAACATAAAGACAATCTCTGATCCAAATGCAGACCTGGATAGATATCCAGTAGCTAATATGCCTTCTTATCTCTGCACTCAACACCCCTCTTTAGAATGCTCATTGACTGAGTACCTTATGAAACTCTAAAAGTAATGAGAAATTTCTCCATCATGTATGGGTTCATGTTTTATTTGAAACTATCATACATTGTGGTCAACATGTGCTGCCATTCCTGGTGATTAATAACTGGGAATTAAGATTTTCTTGTTTAACTGAAATAAAGAGTGTTGTTGATTTGTTGTTCATAAGTACCGTGGAGTCAATTCCGACTCATAGCGACCCTGTACAGGGTTTCTGAGGCTGTAAATCTTTATGGGAGCAGAACGCCTCATCTTTCTACCACGGAACTGCTGGTAGTTTTGAACTGCTGACCTTAAGGTTGGCAGCTCGACTCATAACCACTAAGCTACCAGTGCTCCTTGAAATAAAAAGTAGGAGGGAAAACACTGAATGTGGACCCTAACCTATGGAGACCTATGAGACAAGCAGGCATGGATCGTTCTGGTGAAAAGTGTTTTTAATGTCCTTCTTTAAACTGACTTAACATAATATGCTTTTTTTTTTCTTTTTTAAAAAAGTATAATTTCTTTAAAATGTTACTGAAAGTTAGTGCTTCTCTTAAGTAAGGGTCCTGTAAGAAGTTTCCTGCAGACACACTGCTCTCTGAGTCAGCTTTGGGCGCTGGGCCTGATACAAAGACGATTGGTTCTTGGACGTATTTGAATATGTTATTACAGTTTGCCATTATTGTTCTCTGAAAATCAAGGGGAAACAAAAATTGTGCTGACTCGAGTGATGATACAATTAAGGCAAAGTTGGAAGTCTGACATTTGCTGAAATTAGCAGGATTTTAGCATCAAGCTTTGCTTGTGAAAACTCATTACCCGGGAGTCCATTTTGAATCGTCATTATCCTATAACACAGAGTAGGACTGCCCCGTAGTGTTTCCAAGGCTGTAAATCTTAACAACATGAGCAGACTGCCACATCCTTCTTGGTTAGCAGCTGAGCACTTTAACCACCGTACCACCAGGTTTCCTTTTGCTCTTGAAAACCCGCATCCCACTGCCATCGAGCTAATTCAGAGCAACCCTCTATAGGGTTCCCGAGGCTGTAAACCTTAATGGGAACCTTTACAGGAGGAGAAACTCTTCTTTCTCCCACAGAGTCACTGGTGGATTTGAACTGCTGACCCTGTGGTTAGTAGCCCAATGTGTAATCCAATAGGGCTCCTTTGTTTTTGAAAGGAAGTCCACAATTAAAGATTATATATAAAATGTGATGTTCAAGAGTATGTCTAAAAAATGAGATCTAGTGACAGTTTTGGATTAAGAAGAATCATCAGAAAATTATATTATGGCTCCACCCACAGAGAGAAGGTCACAGACCCACAGAAGTGGGTAACAGGGACACTGCCTGCCACAGACCCTGTCACCAGAGAGAGATGGCAGCTGCTTAACGTGGCCTTGGCAGTCTTTGTAAGGAAGTGGTGGTGGTTGTGTGCCATCAAATTGGTTTTGACAGAAAGCCTCATCTTTCTTCTGTGAAGGAACTGGTAGAGTCAAATTGCTAACCTTTTGGTGACTCATAACCCACTATGGCCCTAGAGCGTCACTGTAAGGAAGTTGCTCTTGTTAAGTACTGTTGAACTATTTCTGACTCATAGTAACCCTGTATAGGATTTCCTAGGAGTTGCTGGTGGGTTTGACTTTACGGTTAGCAGTCCAGTGTTTATCCTGAAGCGCCACACGAAGACTCAGAACCACAATTCCTGCCACTGTTCTCTACAGAAATGCCATCAATGTTTTTCTAGTATATGAACATTAATTTCTTCTATCCATTAAATATCAGCTCAAGTAAATTGAGGGACAAGAATTTGAGGTAAAATTTCTGCTTAGAAAACTATTTTAGGTGGTGTAGTGGGGTACATGTTGGGCTTTTAATTGCAAGATCAGCAGTTCAAATCCACCAGATGAGGTTTTCTGCTCCCCCAAAGATTTACAGCATTCCTATAAATTAAAACCGAATCCAAGGCACACAACCACCACCACCATGCTTTGATGCTTGAGGGCAGTGGTAGGTCAGCAGTAGAAGTCTCACCTTCCATGTGGGAGACCGGGGTTTGATTCCTGACCAATATACTGAAGCCCAGCCCCCTCCCCTTTGCCAACGGAGGCTTGCATGTTGCTATGGTGCTTTCAGCAAGCAAGGTTGTATCATGTGCATATTTCAGGTTGTTAATGAATCCTTCTCCCTCTGATCCCGATGCCATGTTCTTCTTCCTATAATCCAGTTTTTAGGATGATTCACTCATCATACAGATTGAATAAGTATGGTGAACGAATACAATCCTGGCACACACCTTTCCTGATTTTAAACCATTTGGTGTCCCCTTGTTTCTTTTGAACAACTGCTTCTCGGTCTATGTATAGGTTCTTCATGAGCATGATTAAGTGTTCTGAAATGCCCATTCTTCTCAATATTATCCGTAGCTGGTCATGATCCACACAGTTGAGAGACTTTGCAAAGTCAATAAAGCACAGGTAAACATCTTTCTGGTATTCTCTGCTTCCAGTCATGATCCATCTGATGTCAGCAATGTTGAGTCTTAATAAATTGTATGAATTTACCAGTTTGGTTATTCATTCTCCTCTTGGTGGCTATCTGCCTTTTCAAACAACACCTCAATCCAGGTGCTGCCCCAACTGCTACCTAAGGTGAGGGTCTGTCCCCTTCAGCTTACACCCACTTCATGGGGGCTTCGTCACCTGTCCTGTTTCCTCCTCTTACACTGTGTAAGCCTAGTTCTTCAGGCACCATGGAGCTACAGGGATTCCCTGGGTACCACTGGGTGACAAGGACTGGGGATGGGTGGTCTTCTGGGATAAACAGGTCCTGGAAAAGGAAGCCAAGCCCCAGTAGGTGATAGAGGAGGGAGTATGAGAAACTTTGCCCAAGGTTGTTGTTGGTTTCTTGTCTCACTTCTGTTATATAGCGGTCCTCTTCCCCACTGGGCTCCTCCCCGTTCCACATGGGGACACTTCATCAGTATCTCATTCTCAAGACACTGAGCACCAGTCAATGCCCTTTTGCCAAGCTCTTCAGGTTCTCTCAGGGATGGCCTTCTTTCAAGTTGTTCTTCTCCTAGGAGGTGAGTGGGGACCTTCTGGGATGGGGAGAAGTTGGGAAGGGGGTCCTCTTTCTGATAGGGTGGGCTGGGAGACTGTGGGTCAGTGCAGACAGCAATTAGGAGGGCCTAAAGGCAGATGCAGGGGGACTAGGGAGCTCTGGTAGTGTAGTGGTTACGAATCGGGCTGCGAACCTTCAGGTCAGTGGTTTGAAACTACCAGCTGCTCCGCGGGAGAAAGATGAGGCTTTCTACTCCCGTAAAGATTTACACCCTCGGAAACCCTGTACAGGGTCGCTATGGGTCGGACCCGACTCGACGGCACTTAACAACAACAAAGGCAGATGCAAGGCACTTGGTTCTGGCATGGGAGAAGAAATCACCTGAAATCCGTGGCAGGGCACAATCTGAACACAGTGAATGAAGATGGGCTCATGACTTAAGACCAGATGAAGGGTGAGCTGCCTCTTCAGATGGCTACATTCATTGAGACTTCCCTTCTTCCCACATGGGGGCCCTGGTATGGGTACTGTGAGAGCCGGAGGAGTCTGTCCTAGCTTCCTCAGGGAAGAAAAGCCAAAGAAGTTACAAGGGAGCAGAAAGGTTTCAGTCCATCACCTTGAAAACTGTATCAGGACCACACACTGATTTCACACAAATTTCCAGATTTCTAACTTCTCTTGAGAAATGGGACTATCTGGCAGCTCTGGGTACTGGGGCCTTGCAGTGATTTCCTCCTTTATGAGGGACACAAGCTCTGCTGTTCCTGCCATTTTCTGGCACTCACACCCACCCATGTCATTCATTGATGTCACCCACCTGCCTCTGAGCTCCTTGAGTCTGAGCCCCTTGACATCTTGCCACTTGCCAGATTGTAATTGCTGAGTTCCCGCTCAGCAGCAGAATCACTAGAAAGGAGGGAGACATGGGGCATGAGGATCCCATGCCTGCACCCTATGCATCTGACCTCTTCCCCAAGACTCTGACTTTGGGCCCTCTCTGGGACTGCTTAGATCAGCACTGGATTGCAAACCAAAAGCTCAGCAGCTCAAACCCACTAGCAACTTCTTGGAAACCCTATAGAGGGTAGATATGAGTTGGAACCGGCTTGATGGCACTTAGCAACAACTACCACTGCCTAGTTCCTCGCCCTAGTAGAGCTTCCCCATTCTTGGGTTGGAGTTGAGATAGAGGAAAATTCTAGGAGGAATGAAGAGGAAAGATGCCTGCTAAGGAACAGGAGAGTCAGGAAAAAACCTTGAAATGTTGCGGTTGTCTCTCCACAAGCAGTTCCAGCTTAGTCACCAGAGAGGGGAATGTGCTTGGTCAAGAATCAGGAAAGGTGGATGCTGCGTCCGATAAGTGGCTATACTCTGCAAACAGCGCAGAGAGATTAAACCCAATTGGGGGGGATAGGAGATTAGAAAAAAAGGAAGACACGAGACACAAAATGAAATAAGTAAAGTTGGGACCAGGTGGGACACTCACGCTGATGGAGATACTGTGACTCAGACCTAGATTCAGCACGTTATTATATATCAAAAGAAAGTGCTGGGGGCAGGGAAAAGTGCAAAAAACATTTGGTGTATGATGCAAGCAGTTAGCAGGACTTTATCAGAAAAATGTAGTTGCTAGGGACACAGAGATGGGGCAGCTACATGTTTTTGCAGACTAAACTGAAGGCCATGGCTGCATACAAGGAAAGGCTTTGCAAATTCCTTGTTCCCTGAGGCAGGCTTTGCAAGTTCCTCAGAGGGTAGACTGACCTGGCAGCAACCCGATTTTCTGGACCACAATTGTTTAGTTGCAATCCTTGGGTTAAACTGCCCCCAAGTCTGAGACCTTCTGTTTAGCTGCTCCCAACAGTTGGAATCCTGGCTGTACCAGTAAATTGCTGTGTGATTCTGGGTCAGTTGACAAGTACTGATTTGTTGTTGTTAGCTGTCATCCAATTGGCTAGTTAAACACCTGTTAAGTGCCAGGCGTCATGTTGTTGTTGTTAAGTGCCTTCAGGTCGTTTCGGACTCATAGCGACCTTGTAGAAGGTTTCTGAGGAGCAGGTTTGAACTGCCGACCTTGTGGCTCACAGTCCAGTGCTGACCCACAGTGCCATACCAGAAGTCCACCAAGCGCCATAATAGGCGCTAAATAAAGAACAAGATAGGTGCTGCTTTTGGCCCCTGAGAGCCTGACCCTAAGGGAGGCATATATAAGAAGCAAATAATTAATGAAAGAATTTTATGGATCCTGGGGTTCTCTGTCAATAGAAGGATTGTTTTTATACAGAGTGACCATATGTTATTGTTTGTCTGGGGCAGTTCCGATGGATTGATGCCCTCCCCCTTCACCCTCAGTAGATTCTGATTTAAACAATCAGTTGTGTGGTTAGACATTTCTGGCTTAATATGCCAGGTGTTGTTATCGTTGTCAAGTGCCATCGAGTCAATTCTGACCCACAGCGATCCTGTATAGGGTTTCCAAGGAGTGGCTGCTGAGCTTGAACCACCAACCTTGCAGTTAAAACCTCCTTTGCAATCCTGTGCATTAACCCACAGCACCACACCAGGACACCAACATGCCAGGTACCTGGTCTCATTTTAGACTATGCGTGTACTTTGAAGTAAAGTGTGCTTGAGAGAGCATTTCCCTGGATTGTTGGCTTTTTGCATTGCAATTTGATTATTTTTGAGGGAGGGAAGAGGAGTGGACACCACACAGATGGAAAATCAGAAAACAAGTTGGAAAGAGAGGAGTTTGATGGAGAAATGAAGCTGGAGTGGGATGGGGCAAGAAGTCAGGGGACCACACAGGAGGGTGCTTCTCTGATCTCCCTTCCCATATTCCTCAGTCTTGGCTTCTTATCATGGGTTCAACCTGGATGTGGAGGAGCCGACAGTTTTCCATGAGGACGGAGCTGGCTTTGGGCACAGCATGGCCCAGTGTGGCAGAAATCGGTAAGAAGCGCTTCCTCTCCCTACATCTTGCAGGCAGATGAAGTTCCATGGCTGGTGGGTCACACGTGCTGGAGCCATCCTAGAGGAAAGGCAGGATTTGGGAGACATCCTTCCGTGACTCTTTCTAAACTCCAAACACCCCCCACAAATTATTCATGTTTCCAGGAAAGATTACCTTACTCTGGACAGGGAAGACTTGAATCTACCCTTCAGACAGGGCCATCTTCAGGGCATATAACCAGTACAATTACAGAGTCCTGTCATCCAATGGCATCAATAGAGATGCAGAGGTGACGCAGTCAGAGGGGTGACACCAAAATGACTGCCTATAAAACCTGGCTGCAGTTTCAGTGAACGAATATTATTTTTAAATAGAAATATCCCTGTAGTGAGTTATAACAACAAAAACATTTCTCCAAAGTCCAGTTTATATGTATGGATATGAGGGAGTATCAAAAAGTTCGTGGAAAAGTGAAGTGAAAAGATAATGGAATTGTCCCACAAACTTCTCGGCGACCCCTTGTATACTTACACGTTTAAAACTAAGCTAATTTACTTTTTTCTGCAGTTGGATAATGAAGGTCAGAGCTGTTATTCCTCAATTTACAATTGTGTTTTCATTGCATGCCTTTGGCTGCCGTTTTTACAGTGGCTGTTTTTTTCAAGCTTCCTGGTGTTTTAGCTACAAAGCAGTATTTGTAAATCTATATCAAATGCCTTTTTTGAGAACAAAGTAGTAATTAAAGGAAAGAGAAAGAAACATTTAAAAGGTTTTTGCTCAGTTACTAATAATGTTGGAACTAATAATGTTGTAATTCAGTGTAGAAAGACAAATTGTTAATTGCTAATAAATTACTGTTAGCATTCATATAATCTAAAATATTACTTAAACAATGTAAAACTATGTTTCTCATACATTATTCTATGATTAGATTGATAATGTTATTACTAAGTGCCATCAAGTTGATTCCAACCCATGGTGACCCTATATGAGGAGAACCTGGTGGATGTGAACCGCCTACCTTGTGGCTCAAACTGACCTTGAGGTCCAGTGCATTATCCTGCAGTACCACATCAGTACTCCAGATTGATAATAAGCATTACTAAAGAGTCTATGAGCCCTGCTGGGTGCTGTAGGATAAGCACTGGATGGGTAACTTCAAAGCTGGTGGTTCAAACCCACCGGTCACTCTAGGAAACCCTATACAAGGTCACTATGAGTTGGAATCGATTTGGCAGCACACACAACAGCAGAAACAAAGATTTGATCAGATGGGATACGCAAAAAGAGCTCTGAGGAGGCAGAGGAGGTGACGCTATGAGATCTCACACAGATGGCACCAGCCCTAGTCACCCATTGCCATGATAAGAAGTGGGGGAGGCTGCATTTGGAATTTAATGTTCTGTAGTCTCCCTCCTGAAATATGCAATTATTTTATAAAGATAAAATATTTCCTGATGGAAGGTTAGCTATGCACACCTCCACCACCCCACCCTCAACAGACTCCATGAAGGTTCTTGGCGGCTGCCAGCTCCACATCACACCCCATGCCCTCACCTTTGCCCAGTGATCAAACCTGCCCTCTGCTGCTGGTCAGGAGCTGAGGAATGTCAGGGTCAGGTACACCCTGTACCCTCAAACCTTTGGGTATCTTTGTGGTTGAAGGAGCGTGACACAAAATAGCAAACAAAAATCAATAGGATAAGTTGAGAGACTGCAGAAGGAAGGAAAAAAGCTTTTTTCCTGCTTTTTGAACAAGAGGCCTCACATTTTAATTTTGCTTTTGTTGTTGTTGATAGGTGTCCATCAAGTTGGTTCTGATTCATAGCGACCCTATGCACAACAGAACGAAACACTGCCCAGTCCCGGGCCAACCTAAAAATTATTGTTACACCTGAACCCATTGTCAATCCATCTTGTTGTTGGGATCTTTCTCTTTTTTGCTGACTCTCCACTTTACCAGTTATGATGTCCTTCTGTAGGGACTGATCCCTGCTGATAATATATCCAAAGTATGAGAGATGAAATCTCACCATCCTCACTTCTACGGAGCATTCTGGCTGTACTTCTTCCAACACTGATTTCTTTGTTCTTCAGGGAGTCCATGGTACTTTCCATAGTCTCCTTCAACACCACAACTCAAATACATCAGTTCTACAGTCTTCCTTATTCATTGACCAACATGTATAGGAGGCAATTAAAAATATCATGACTTGGATTAAGCACACATTTGTCCTCAAACTGATTTTTTTGCTCTTGAACACTTTCAAGAAGTCTTTCGCAGCAGATTTGCCTAATGCAACACATCATCTGATTTCTTGACTGCTGCTTCCATGAGCATTGATTATGGGTACAAGCAAACTGAACCCCGTAGAGAAGTTCTACTTCATCCTATAAAGGTACTATGAGTTGAGATTCACTAAATGACAGTGTGTTTCTTCAGCCAGAGGAGCAATCCAGGCAGGCACTTGCAAGGTTTTAAATTTTTTTTTGTTTTGAAATATAACACAGGTGGAACCACACAAATGTGAAAGGCTCAACTCAGTAATATATAAATATGTGTTTACCTGGGTCACCATGACCTTGATCAAGATAAAGGACATTTCCATTCCCCCACACCCCAGGGTTTCTTGGTGTCCCCTCTTGATCACCAGCACCCAATAAATGCAAAGATAACCACTGTTCCAACTTCCATCACCACAGATTCATTTTCAGACCCCATTTTTTAAAATGTTTTTGTTATGAATTGTGTGATAGTTTACATGGGAGAACATCATCTTTACAGTCATGCTATCGTATTTCATTTTATTACAATGATTACAAACCGCTCCATGCATCATCATTCAACAACATTTGCTTCCATTCCCTCTGGTTGTTTTTGTTTGTTTGTTTGTTTGTTTTTCCTGGATGTACACGGAAGCACTCAGGAATATATAATCATTCACACAGCCAAAGGGTATACCTTAGAAGCCTGCCCCCTGGCCACCAGCACACAGCCCCTCTCCCTTCCTGAGTCCACAGTCCCCAGCCACTCCGTCTCTCCACATCATCATCTCTGCCTCCATCTCTGGCGTAGCTGCTTCTCTGGATAGGGCCCTGCACTATGCTCTTCTCCCTTGATGGTCCCAGGGTCCTTCACTCCTGGACTGCAATATCAACCACTCCCCTCCTTTCGTTACAAAATGTCTACCTTTGCATTTGCAACATTCACATTCAGTCCTGGTAGCAATTATTCATTATTGAATCACAAGGGTCTTATCCCCATTTCCTTTTACCAGCTCTGTCTAGAGAGGTTGGAAACCACTCAGTGGAAATTCTACCTTCCCCCACACCCTTTAAAACTAGGCTCCCTCTTGAAAGATTGTAAGCCAGTCACTTCTTGCCTTTGTAGCCTTCCCCCCACCCCATTTTGGGTAGCCAATATCTAAGTTGTCCATCCCTGTCAACCCTGTGTGCAGAGGGGGAGGGAATGATCCTTGCTGTAAAGATTTGTTCTCTCTTTTAAGTTACTACATCTGTAAGTGTCTATAGGTCAAGTTCAACAAACTGTAGCAGATTACACTTTTTTTCCTCTTCTTTCTTCCTCTAGCTGAGTTCTGATCATCCAGCCATTGAAGCTAAGTCAAATGTATGGTGGTGGTGGTGTGCCGTGAAGTTGGTTCTGAGTCATAGCAACCTTGTATAAGGTTTCTGAGGCTATATGTTTACAGGAATGGAAAGCCTCATCTTTCTCCAGTGGAACAGCTGGTAGTTTCAAACTGCTGACCTTGAGGTTAGCAGCCTGACTTATAAATACTATACTACCAGAGCTTCTTGTATTTGTGTTGTTGCTCTTGTTGTTGCTAAGTGCAATCGAGTTGGGATCTGACTCATAGCGACCCTGTCCAGGATTTCCAAGGAGCAGCTGGTGAGTTGGAACTGCCGGCCTTAACGGCCCCAACCTACGTTGCAGTTTACCGCATTAACCGGCAATGCCACACCAGAAGTCCTGCATTTATGTCTACTCACACAAAAACAAGTAAAAAAAAACCCCGAATGATTCTTAGTCATGTTGTTGTTGTTGTGTGCCATGGAGTTGGTTCCGACTCATAGCAACCCTGTACAGGGTTTCCGAGGCTGTAAATCTTCACGGGAGCAGAAAGCCACATCTTTCTCCCGCAGAACAGCTGGTCGTTTCGAACTGCTAACCTTGCAGTTTGCAGCCTGATGCATAACCACTACGCTAATAGGTTAACTTATAGGCCTATATAGGTTAACATATAGGTCCAAATTTTTACCAGCCTCTTTAAAGTGTTGAAGAGAGAACAAAGATGTCAGTTAGAGGACTAAGGTGCACGTGACATCATGGTTTGTGCCCCCAGGCTCATAGTGGGAGCCCCCTTGGAGGTGGTGGCAGACAACCAAACAGGACGGTTATATGACTGTGCGTACCACACCAACAGATGCCAGCCCATCCCACTGCATGGTGAGTAACTTGTGCAGGCATCCGAACGCTTCCTCAGCTCCCTCCCCCTAATGAGGGTGTGCCATGAGTATGAATAGTGTGTCTGCCTTCTCAGTCCCCCCAGAGGCTGTGAACATGTCCCTAGGCCTGTCCCTGGAGGCTGCCACCAATCACTCCAGGCTGCTGGTGAGCTTCTCTGAGGCACAGGAGGGTCCTCAAGGGAGGGACAGGGGCTAGTGGAGGCTGGGGGTGGGGTAGGAGAGGAAAGGATGCTCCTAGAGAACCCTTGCTCACACAGTCTTCTGCCCCAGGCCTGTGGCCCGACCTTGCACAGAACCTGTGGGGAAAATATGTATGCAAAAGGCTCATGTCTGCTGTTGGACTCCCACCTGCGGATCATCCAGACAGTCCCAGCTGCCCTATCAGGTAGGTTCATGTGTGACTGCGATTCTGCTTGGGGCACACACTGCACTGAAGAATGGGCAGAGCACCAGGCCTGGGACATGGTCTCCTGTGCCCATTGCCCTTTCTGGAGGCCAAAGTGTGATTACGGAACCTCGGCAAGCCCAAGATGGGGCGGGAGCACTTTCTGACCCAATGGAGAGGCATATCAGAGCAGGATCCTAAGCTGGTTTGGGGGTGAAGATGTTGATGGGACAGTGTACTGACTGTGGGACTTTGAGGGTCATTCAGTTGCCGACAGGTTCAAGGACACTTGTACTTTCAGAAGGAGGCTGAAGGCATGTGATAAGGATGAGAAATTCCTGAGGGAGGCATTTCTTCAGGATTCCCCAAACCCACCTTTCACCCTCTCAGTGAGCAGACGTTATGCGCAGTTTGCCATTGCCAGTGTCTTCCATTGAGAACAGGGACTAGGGACACTGTGGTGACTCTCTCTGAGAACCAGTCTGCATAGTACTAAAGAGCAGGAACCGAGGGCTGGTGCCACGTGCCCTTTGGGCCAATGACTTCACTCCTTGGACCTCAGTTTCCTCATTGGTAAAATGGGACTTACTAAAAGGAGTGCTTATAAGAACTAAGGAGACGTGGTGTGGCACTGTAGGATAAGCACTGGGCTGCTAACTGCAAGGTCAGCAGTTCAAACTCACCAGCCACTCCTTAGAAATCTTATACAGTGCTGACTTGGCAGCATTTAACAACAATGAAGATGAAAGGATTTATTTATAGATGTGCTTAAACTGTGCCTGACATATGTGTGTGTGTGTGTGTGTGTGTGTGTGTGTGTGATGGCTGATGTCACTAATTTTCCAGCTGAGGACCATGTGCTTAGGCTGTGAGAAAGATAGAAACGATCTCAGTGCTGTCATCAGCGTGCTGACTGAGAGCAAAGCTCTGGACCAGAGAAGCCACAATGGCAGGCATGGTGGACTTCTAACCAAAGACAGAGTGGTAGCCCAAACCTTTGTGAGTTTTCTGTGACTGATAATTATTTCACAACTCTGGAACCAGAGCTGAAATCAGTTTCACTGAGCTGAAGTCAAGATGTCAGCAGAACTGCACTCATTCTACTCAGGAATCCTGCTTCCTTGCCTCTTCCAGATGTTGGCATTTAACATTCTTTGACTTGTGTCTACATCTCTTTCTGTTCCTTCATCATATTGCCATCTCTGAGTCTGTCTGTAATCACCCTCTGCCTCTCTCTTATAAGCATACTGAACCACTTTGCTGTTCTGTCTCTCCCTACGCGTTATGACCTCCTTAGAGTATGTTTTCAACAAATATTTGTTGAAGAAATGAATGAAGAAACCACCTGGTCTTACCACACTTCCTCTTCCACTTTTCCAGGCCTTGTGGGAAGAATGGATCAGTGGAGATTTTACTAAGGAGAGAGGGACTGGGTCATTAGATCTGGGCCTCTTCTATGGAGGGGATTAGAAACCTGGGGTAATGGAGCCTACATCAGAGCTTAAATTCTAAAACATTTGGTTTGTAGAAGGCTGCGGTCTACAGCAGTAGCCCTTACTCCATTTTGAGTTTTGACATACATCGACTTCTTTATACTACTTCCCCAATGATTGTTGACCGTTAAACCAGCGATTTGGTCACAGTTAGACAAGTCTTGGGTGGAACTGTGGGTTAATGCACTGGACTGCAAAGTTGCTTTGAGCTGCAAGGTTGGTGGTTCCAGCTCACCAGTGACTCCTCGGAAACCCTGTACAAAGTTGCTATGGGTCAAAACCGACTCAATGGCACTTAACAACAACAAAGACAAGCCCAAAGCAAGCATAGGGAGGGGCAGTTTTACCCTCAGAAAGAATGTGCTGGAAAGTAGTAGATTAATAAGTATGCAGAAAGATGCCCATGCAAAGAAGTAGGAACTTGACTGGGTGTTTATCAAAAGTAACCAATCAGGTGCGATATCTAACTAAAGTTGGAGGTTGGGGTTTCTTGTCTTGTCTTGCAGCCATGCTGTAGCTATGACCTAGGGTCACATGATTATGAGTCATACCCTGACCACCATGTACATAACCAAGTGGTTGAAGCCCCAAAACCAACCATGAGCCTCACCTGCCCATGCACCCCACCTCCACCTTCTATAGTCCCACCTACAACATTGATGGGTTGACCTGCCTCCAATCATGATCTGGTGGTGATTTTCTTGTTCTCTGTTATATGTAATGAACACCGTGACTGTGAGTTGGCAGACTCTATCAGTCTCTGTACTATGTGCATGATGGTTTTCATCTTCCAGATGATTTTGTTTGTCTTTGTCCTATTTAACGTTTCAAATGGAGTCCTGGTGTAGCACTGTGCAATAGTGTGCTGGACTGCAAGGTCTGTTTGAACCACAAGGTCGGTGGTTCAAATTCACCAGCTGCTCCTCAGAAACCCTTTACAGGGTCACTATGAGTTGGAACTTCACAACAACATCGAGCATGTTTGGATGTGGAATCTTTCTTTCCCTAGCACAAACCCTATGCCAAGAACCAGACTGCTGAGTTGTTGTTGTTGTCAAGTGCCGTTGAGTTGATTTCAACCCATAGCGACCCTGTATAGGGTTTCCAAGGAGCAGCTGGTAAGCATGAACCACCAACCTTGCAGTTCAAACAGCTTTGCAGTCTGGTGCATTAACCCACAGCGCCACACCAGAACTCCGACTGTTGAGTAAGAGGTATTTATTCTGGGACCCATGTGTCTCTCTTTGATTGCCTCCTCCCTTCCTACAGAGTGTCCAAATCAAGACATGGACATCGTCTTTCTGATTGATGGTTCTGGCAGCATTAATAGAAGTGATTTTGACCAGATGAAAGGCTTTGTCAGAACGGTGATGAGCCTGTTTAAAGGCACCAACGTCCTGGTGAAGACTGGGCACATGAGGCTTGAGGAATGGGTGGGCTGGGGAGGGCCAGCGTGGCTGGAGGTAGAGCTGGGAAGGGAGCCTGGTGTAAGGTGGGGGTTCCAGGAATAGGGTAGAGGTGAGGTTGGCTGGGGGATGGAGGTGGGGGGATAGTTCAGCAGAGCTGTGCCACTATGAGGCTGGAATCCAAGTCTTCCGGTGCAAGCCCAATCCCTGTGACATTTACTATTCACCTCCATCCTGAAGAAATACAAATGCTTTTGCTGTTTAAAACCACTGAAAAGATTTGTCAATAATTTTGCTCATGAAATTTGACAGAGTCATTTGACAGACTCAGTCATATAATTGATGATTCTTCAGCATTTTTTCTATGAAACTTATGATTTCTTTACTTTATTGTGCATATTTACCAGCAATTAATGTATGTTTATATACTTCAGAAGTGAAGAAATATAACCCATAAGTTAGTTTCATGTTGTAAAATTTCAAAAATCGAACTTTTACAACTATTGGGGTGGGCAATGGTTGGTCTTATAGACCATGTAAACAATATTAATTGTGTTTGACTCTATTTTCTCTTGATTCTTTTGAGCCAATTTTTGTTTTGTTTTGGTGTATGATTTGGAAGGTCTCAAAAACACATGGGAAATAGTTTATATATCCACAATTATTCCAGAAGTAAACGTTTATTTTTAAAAACAAGAAAGACCAATGAACCTCTGGGCCCCGTGGTTCTCCCCGCGGCCCCTGCAGTTCTCTCTGATGCAGTACTCAAACCTCCTGGAGACCCACTTCACCTTCACTGAGTTTCGGACCAGCAAGAACCCTCGGAGCCTGGTGGACCCCATTGTCCAACTGAAAGGGCTGACGTTCACAGCCACGGGCATCTTGAAAGTAGTGTAAGTACTGTCTCTGGCCTGAGAGCCTCACACTTTGTCCCGAATGCTGGCGCAGCATGCCCATCTCAGAGGCTTAAGGAGGCTTTGGGAGAGCAGGTAAACAAGGAAGTGTGGGGCTATCAGGTGGAGGCTTCTTGGCCCCTCACTCTCTGCCGGCCCTCCCTGACACAGGATTTGACTCCTGCTCCAGTGTTTCCCCTGCAGAGGCTGAGCCCTGGGAGCCCACCTGAGGCAGCCAGAGACATGGTGGGCTTTAGACACATCTGGGTTCACATTCTGGCTCCCTGCCTCCTACCTGAGAGACCCTGGAAGAATTACTGACTCTAAGGTCTCAGTAAACTAAAATGAGGATAGCCTCACAACTTGGTTGTAAGGGTTAAATGAGCTCAATTGTAAGGTGCTTGGTCCAGAGCACAGAGGAGGTGCTGGATAAACCCTGGCAAAACCAAAAAACCAAACACCTGTGGTGGAGTGGGTTCTAACTCACAGGGACCCTAGAAGACGGAGTAGAAGTGCCCCATAGGGTTTCCAAGACCATAAACCTTTATGGAAGTATCTTTCTCGAACTGCAGACCTGTGGGTTAGCAGTCCAGTTCTTAACCACTGCTCCATAAGGGATGCGACTGCCTGCCTGGTGTGGACTCAGAAACTGTTCACGATGCCTTTCTCTCCACTCCCAGTCCCGCCACCACCCCCCATCCCTTCACTGAGCACTTAGTGTGTGTACCTAGCATTGTGTTGGGTGCCAGGCGGCCCATACAGGAAATGATTGAGGTCATGGGCTGGAACGGAAGAGGGTGTGATTCCATGGGAAGGAGCCAAGCTGAATGTCTGGGTCCCTCAACTTTCTGAACCTCTGGACGCTTCTCTATGAGAAATGTTGAACCAAAGATGCTCCCACCAAATGTACCTTTTCTTCTGATTAACCACTGGTCCTTCAGGTCCAGGAGAAAACCTCTGTACCTTAAGTTTAAAGTCAAACAAAGGTAGTCCTATTCTAGCTCCCCCTAGTGTAGAACCCTTTCATCCCGTTGAGGTTCTCCCAAGTTATGGGACAACTTCCTCTGGGGTGGGGGGTGGGGGGCTCGGAGGAAAAGGTCAAAGAGGCAAGGAGAATCATGAGGCTCTCATCAACTTCTGCCCTCCTCCTACTTCCCAGAATGCACTGCATCTCCCAGCAGCCTCCCTGCATCTGAGCCAGCTGGAGCTCTACCCCTCCTTGCCACCAATTGAACTTTTTTTTTAATGTTTAATTACAAAAAAGACAAAATGGAAAGAACATTTAGGATATTTTTGAAAAAATAACTATTATTCATAGCCCCCATAGTCAGTTACCTGACAGCATTTTAACAACAAGATAATCTATGTACACAAGAATGAAGAAGCCCCACCAGCCAGGGCATAGAGCTCAGTGGTAAAGCATTTGACTGCAGATCAAATCACTGCTTTACAAGCGGGAGCCCCCTAGCCTACCTTTACTTCTTTTGGACTCCTAAGATAAGCACTGGACCACAAGATCGGTTTGAACCACAAGGCCAACAGTTCAAACTCATCAGCTGCACCTCAGAAACCCTATACAGGGTCACTATGAGTAGGAACTGACTCGACGACACTTAACAATAACACCACCAGCAACAGCCTAACCATCTTATTTCCAACCTGGTCTTTATTCACACATTTTATATGGTCATCATCAGAGCGGAATTGATGGTCATTCTGCTTTTCTTCCACTTAGCATGGTCCTGGTGTGGCACCAAAGGATAAACACTCGTCCTCAGGGTCGGTTTGAACTACAAGGTTGGCGGTTCAAACTCATCAGCTGCTCCTCAGAAATACAGGGTTGTTATGAGTCGGAACCAACTCAGTGACACTTAACAACAAGAAGCATGGGGTCAAGGGGCCCTGGTGGTGCAGTGATCAAAGCACTCAGCCACTAACTCAAAGAGAAAAATGTGGTAGTCTTGCTTCAACAAAGACTTAGAGCCTTGGCAACTAGGGCTGCGCATAACTTCTTTCTTCTCTCCAAATCAGTTATATCTCAGCAGCGTCATCCTCCTTTCTTCCCCAACAGGACGGATCTATTTCATAGTAAGAATGGGGCCCGCAAAGGTGCCAAGAAGATCTTGATTGTTATCACAGATGGGCAGAAATACAAAGACCCCCTGAAATATAGCGATGTCATCCCCCAGGTGGAGAGAGCAGGGATCATCTGCTACGCCATTGGGGTGAGGCCTTTTCTGCGACGCTCACTCAGACTCAGCATGCACCACATCCAGGCAGAAATGCTGATGTGTTCCTCCTCCTCTGTTGCTTGTCTGCTACAGGTGGGAGTTGCTTTCCAGAAACCTGCTGCCAAACAAGAACTCAACATCATTGCCTCAGCACCCCCGCAGGACCACGTGTTCAAGGTGCACAACTTTGCAGCACTTGGCAGCATCCAGAAGGAACTGAAGGAAAAGATCTTTGCAGTTGAAGGTAAGTAAGAAACTGGGCTTGGGTCTTGGAAGTGAATTGATCCCTGCCCAATTGTCTTCCGTAACAGTTCATCCCGACTCACAGTTGACCCAAAATTGCTTCCAGAACCCAAACCTCTCTGTTCTGAATCCTCAGGGTCACATTCTCTTCCACCTGTTCTGAGTCCTCAGGGTCTCATGGCCTCCAGGAGTCTAAGTGACCTATTTTCCCACAGGAACCCAGTTGAGAACAAGTAGTTCCTTCCAGCATGAGATGTCTCAAGAAGGTTTCAGTTCAGCACTCACAATGGTGAGTGAAGCATGTGCTTGAGAAACAGGCCTTAGGCCCTAGGACTCAAAAACAAACCAGAAAGCAGGCCCTGACTTCAAAAATCCCGTTGCTAAGTCAGGGAAGAGACAGAGGCAATAGGTAATGACGAGGTGCTAGGGAGCCCATCAAAGGCCAGGAAGACAAGATCTCACTCTATGGAGCACCTACTCCAGTGGAAGGAGATAATAAGTAATAACTAAGCAAATGACTTTTAGATGTCATACAGACAATAAAATAGACTACTGAGAGAGATAAAAAGGATGGTCAGAGGAGGTCTGAGTTGTAATAATTAAGTCTGAATGATGAGAAAGTACCAGCCCTGGGAAAATCCGAGGCAAGATTATTCCAAAGGAAAAAGCAAGTGCAAAAATCCTGAGGCAGGAACAAGGTGCCTAGGAGAAAAAAAGACCAGGGTGGCTGGAACAAAGGAAGCAAGGGAAGCATGGGAGGAGAGAGCTAGAAGGGTGGGAAGGGCCAGACCATGCAGGCCCAATAAATGACAGTACAGCATTACTTGTCTGAAAGTAAATGTGTGTTCAAATGATTCAGAAGGCTTGTCTTTAAAATGACCCATGGGTGGAGGCTGAGTGGTAGAAATGGGACAAGGTTGGTCATGAATTGATCACTGAGCCTGGGTCATGGGTACTTGGAGGTTCATTATCCATTTCTTTCTACTTTTGTTTATGTTATAAATGATCCAGAATAACAAATGTAAATGACAATAAAGAATGTAAAGGCGGAAACACCCACCACTCACAAGTGGTAGATGACTACCAAGCTGAATATTCCAGGGAGGAGTTGAGTACTGGAAAGAGGCGGGAGAGAAGTCTCCATGAGTTTGGTTAGGAAGAGTCGTAGATATCATCCTCAGGGGCTTGGTGACAAGACGCCATCTTGGTTTTTTAGCAGGTTGGTGGCTACACATTTGGATTTGATGAAACACAACAGCAACAAAGAAGTCATGGTGTGATGCTATAGGATAAACACTGGACTGCTAACCAAAAGGACTGCAGTTCAAACCCATCAGCTGCTCTTTGAGACCTATACAGAGTTGCTATGAATCTGAACTGAGTTGTCAGCACTTAACAACAACAACTCTGGGGTGGAAAATGAAGCAAAAGAGAGCATGATGGAAGGCAGGAGGGGGAGAGAAGGACGGTAGCAGTGGGTTGGACTGAGAGATGCTAAGAACTAAGGTCAGGTCAACATTGAAACTGTGGATCATGTTGGGGGAAGAAGGAAATTCAAATAATTGAGTGGAAATGGTAACAGGCATTTGTTTGAAACAGTCTGTCTACTTGCTCCAGTCTTCTCAAACTGGAATCCTTTCCTCCCAGAATGGACCAGTTCTGGGGGCTGTAGGGAGCTTCAGCTGGTCTGGAGGTGCCTTCTTGTACCCCCCAAATAAGAACCTGACCTTCATCAACATGTCTCGGGAGAATGTGGACATGAAGGACTCTTACCTGGGTGAGAAAACGTTGGGGCTGAAGGTGGGGGACAAGACAGGGAGGTTGAGCTGCCTGGGAGGACCAGGAACAATGGACGAGCCAAGGCCTGACCCCCACAGGTTACGCCACTGAGTTGGCCCTTTGGAAAAAGGTGCAGGCCCTGATCCTGGGTGCTCCCCGCTACCAGCACACTGGAAAGGTTGTCATCTTCACCCAGACGTTGAAGCAATGGGTACCACAGGCCGAAGTCACAGGGACCCAGGTTGGGTATGGGGACACGGAGGTGGAACATGAGGCTGGGCAGGGGGATTTGTAGTTCTTGGTGGGAAGATGCCGGTGGCTGGGGAGAGGTGGAGTCTGGCTCAGAAGCGGGTTTCCCTGGGAAGGGCAGCCAAGGTGACTTCAGGCTCTGCTTTCCAGATCGGTTCCTACTTCGGGGCCTCCCTCTGCTCTGTGGATGTGGACGGAGATGGCAACACTGAGCTGGTCCTTATTGGGGCCCCTCATTACTACGAGCAGACCCGGGGAGGCCAGGTGTCTGTCTGCCCCTTACCTCAGAGAGTGAGTGACTGACGACAGGGACCTGGACTGGGTGGGCCCCACCGTAGGATGGAGGAGTTGCCCCAGTTGGAGCCTGGCACTGGTTTTGTTATGCAGCGGGCTAGCTGGGAATGCCGGGCTGTTCTCCGCGGGGAGCAGGGACATCCTTGGGCCCGCTTTGGGGCAGCCCTGACAGTGATGGGGGACGTGAATGGGGACAAGCTGACGGATGTGGCCATCGGGGCGCC